CTCCCCCTCCCCCTCCCCCCGCCTGCCATTTTCTCCTAAATATCCTCTCTGTCTTCTCTCCCTTTCTTTTCCTTCCAGGGTCTCATTTTGTAGCCCAGGCTGGCTTTAAATTCATGACCCTCCTGCCTCAGCTCCCCTTGCCCCCAAGTGCTGGGATTATAGGATGCGTCATCATGCCAGGCCACAGCAAGGACGTCGGATTTTCCTTCTCAACCTGCAGTGCAGTCTCATGCCTCTCCTCCTTCTCCAGGTGTGGTTGATCATCTTGACCTCTGTTCTTTGACCTTGGATGAGCCCAGGCACTGTCTTAGGCAGAAGCTCATCTCTTCTGCTCTGAGGGACTCCTTTAAGCAGAAATCTTTGTCCCCTCTCTCTCATTCTGCTCCAGAATCTGTCCCCAACAGCCCACCTTTGCTACCATTTTATATAACAAAATACTGTCTTAGTCGAAATCCATCCTTGCATGAAGTTGGAGAAAAATTCAGTATCCTCCTTTGGTAAGCATGACATATTTGAATCTGTTTGGAAGACTGCTAGAGGGAGTCTGTGTTGGGCTTAGGAGACATCAGACATCCCGGAGCTGTTGTGAAGATCAAGCAAAGGGCTTTATAAATGTCAAGTGATATTATTAGCAGCCATTTGCATTCATAGAGGAAGGGAGGGATGCCAATGAAGCAGCACACTCTAGGCATGTGTAAAGAGAAACTGTTGTCAGTCTAGCTCACTCCCTGGTGTCAGCCTAGCTCACTCCCTGGTGTCAGCCTAGCTCACTCCCTGGTGTCAGCCTAGCCCATTCCTCTGTGACAGTCTAGACCACTCTCCTTGAAACACCTTTTCCTACCCAACTGCCTAAGCTGGCCCCATTTCCACAGCCCTTCAGAGCAGGAAGAAAAATATGAGGTTGGTTTGGAGGCAGAGAAATGCAAACCTATTTCTGCAGTAAATGTAGAAGCCAGAACAGCCAGCAGGGGGAGCTATCGGCAGGGATAAGCAGTTGAGACTCTCCTTACCGTCTCTTATCTGTGGGGAATCTATTCCAAGGAACCTTCCACCGTGGAAGCCTGAAATAATACATGGCACTGAACCCTATATAAACCATGATTTTCCCTCTACCTACATATGAGTTAGGAACAGTGAGAGAATAACTACAATAAGGAATAATAAAATGGAATCATTGCCACACTGCTATAAAATTGCCAGCATCACAGTTCTTGCATTTTGGATCATGATTAAGCAGTTGACCTGATAACTGAGCCAGTTACTAAATGACTGACAGGTAGTGGCGTCCAGAGCCAAGACAGCATGAGTTACTGCTGTCTGACACACGCCTCAGACTGGGGCCCAATTAAAAGCTTCTGAGTTGTGCACTGTAGTGGTGGCACACGCCTTTGATCCCAGCACTTGGGAGGCAGTGGCATGTGGATCTCTGTGAAATCAAGGCCAACATGGTTTACATAGTGAGTTCCAGGTCACCCAGGGCTACAGGGAGACTGTGTCTCAAAAAAACAAAAATCAAAAAAACCCTCTAAGTTGTTTATTTCTAGAGTCTTCCATTCAATATTTTCAATTAATTGCAGATAATTGAAACAAGGAAAGTTAACTCATGCCTGTGGCCATAGCAAAAGGTCCTAAAGCCCAGGTATGTTGAGTTCAACAGTGCTTTAAAACCAATCAAAGCTTGCTGCATCTGAAATGAAAGTTTTGCTCCTTCCTAACCTGTTCATGGGCCACTGTGGTGCCCTTTTACAACTTTTCCACTGATTACCTGCTCTGGCCAAGGCACAGAAGCCACCCAAGGAATCAGTCAAGTCCTATGCCCCAGAGTGTTCAGTGCTTGCAGTCTGACAAACCAGAGTCACATGTAAGAGTGAGCTTCAAGTTCTGCTCTTGGCTACACTTTTGTTCAAGAAGAAATTACAAAAGAACTCAAAATCTCCTTTTATCTTGGTTAAATGAACAAATGAGATTTACTCTGTTTTTAAAAAAATTTTTTATTTTATGTATATGTTTTCCCTATGTGTATGTAAGTGCATGCAGAGGCCAGAAAAGGCTGTCCAATCCCCTAGAACAGGAGTTGCGACATTTGAGCCATGTGGGTGCTGGGAACTGAACCCAAGTCCTCTCTGCAAGAGTAGCCAGTGCTCTTACCTGCTGAGCCAGCCAATTTTCTGTTTTGAAGGTTGAATTCTCTTCCTCCTGCTGGCCTCAGGGTTGTCTCTTCAGCAGGAACACAGAGGTAGACATGGTCAGGGCCTTGGGTAGCAGTTAGGAGATGTGGGCTCTGACCTCCCTTGGCTGTGCTTGAGCCATCCCTGGGAGGCCTCTGCCCCTGTTTTCCTCATCTATAGGATGGGGGCTGGAGAAAGATCACTCCCTCACACACAAAGGTGTGCTCTAACAGGCTGGAGGAGATGGCTAGGTGAGCATATTGCACAGGCTCTGATGCTCCTTGCAGGAACCCAGTGGTGCCACAGGCCTGTGTTGGGACGGGGCAGTGCCCTTTAATGTGGATGGAGGGAATGTTGGCTTCCCCAGGGTTCCCTCCTCAGGTGTGGTGGGAGTGGCAGTTGAATGGGGCAGTTGGAGAGGAGGGCTCCAGTCAGGTGGGACTGGGGCAACTAAACCTGAGATCCAGAAAGGTGGAAGCCAGGTAAGGATGGCCATCCTGCCATGACTTCTGGCCCCTCCTTCTCTCCGGCTCATCCTGGGTACTTGCTCACTCCCTGTCCGGGTAAAGCTTGTCTCTACTGCAATCAGTGGCCCCCAGTTAGCCCTGAGGACCCTTGTCACTCTCCCTAGGCCAGGCTATGGTGGGTGACATTTGGACTTTGGCTGCCCCCTGGGAGGTCTGGGGCAACGAGAGGTGAAGGAGACCTGGGACATTTCTAGATTTTGCGCTCCTGGTATGTGAGAGAAAAATAGAAACACCAAGACAGGATTTCAAAAATCTGTGATGTAAAGAAACCTACATTGACTAAATGAGGTCTTTCAGTACACGTGCATGCACACACATGTGTGATCACTGAGGACTGTTCACAATTTAACCAAGAGATTGACTTTTCATGGTGCATTAGTGGCTCTCATGGGTTTGAAATGGAAGTTCTTACCTTTCTTCAGTCTTATCAGATCATCTCTGTGCAAATGGGTGACCTCATTTGGAGACACCATCCCAAGCTGCCTTTTTAGGCCCTTCTGGGGTGAGAGGACAGAGCAGCACCTCCCTTCCCAGCCTTGGCCTTTGTGTATTATGTCACCTTGGCTCCTCCCTCTGCCTCACCCTCCATCTGACACCCATTCAAGGTCCTTAGGGGCCAGACCTGAGGAAAGCCATCTATACATTCTCCTCAGAGCCAGAGAAAGCTCAAGTCTCCAAGGAAGTTTGAGGGGAGAGTGTAAGACCATCAGATACTTTAAGAAGGGATTTACTGGGCTGGGGGTGTAGTTCAGTTGTAGAGACCTTATTTAATATATGTGAAGCCCTGGATTCAATCCCCAACACCAGAAAATGAGAGGGGGTGGGGAGGGACAAAGACGATGGGGCGGGGCTGGGGAGAAAGGGAGGGAGAGATGGAGAGGATGAAAATTTTCCACCTTTGTCAGTGAATCTGGGTTAAAGAGGCGAGGTGGATGGAAAGGGTTGCGGCAGGTGTGGAGGGCATTCTCTTATGCTGGACTTTAGACACCTTTTCACTTCCCATTTTGGATAAAATCAAAGACGGAGAAAATAAAATGCAGTATAAGAAGAACAGTGCCCATGAAATGCTAAAGGTCAAGCGACCTAGAACCCCAGAGCCAGGCAGGAGGGTGCTGTGGGCTGTGGCTTAGCCTACCCCTGGCAGTGGCTGACATGGACTGATTATAGCCTTGAAAGCTGTTGAGATTTTGGCAAAGCAAGAAGTCTTTTTTGAAAATGTGCTATCTCTTAATAAATGTTTACAAATTGAAAATAAATTGAACTGTGCAGGCCATATAAAATGGACCTGTAAATTGTATATGTTTGTATAGGCCTCTAAAAAGAGGCCTCTCTGTGGCCCAGTGTATCGAAGTTAGGTCAGGAAAGCAAGGGGCTCCGAAGACCTTTTGGCATCTCCAGCCTTCCCTTGGGTGCTCGTCCGAGACCCACGTGGTGGTTATAGGGTCCCAGGCTTAGCAAGCTGCCAGTCTCTCCGGCTCTGCCTGCTGTTCCCTCCTCCCTGGCAAACAGATTCCTCACCCTAGGCAGCTTCTCGATCCTGGCAAAGGATGGCAAGCCAGACGGGATAGAGATGTTAGCCAAAGCACACTTCCTGATTTAAGAAGTCTCACTTCCCCCAGGGCTGCCAAATTTAGCAAAATACTGTTCCAGCTGCAGAGCTTCCAGGCTGTCTTAGGTAATCCTAACTGTGTTTCCTGTGGAGTGTTCAAGGAAATAACCTGGCGCCGATTTCCTGTGTACTCTATAACCCAAACCTGGCCTGGGAGACTGGCTCTCTGTCTTGGGCATCCATTTTGGACAGCTTGACCCTTTCCACCAGCCTCCGACAGCTTGCTGACATGGTCCTTCACCAGTAAAAAGGTGAACAAGTAACCAGAAGTCATAGACATCAGGAAGAATAAGACTTGTCCTTGGAGACAGTGGATCAGGATGGAGGGGCAAGAAGTTGAGGCTGGACAGAGAGGTACAGAGGCTGGGATTGAGCTGGGAAACATGCCATGTGCCTCAAATCGGGGAGGCACAGGTCTGCCTGGCCCCTGAGAGAACAGCAAGGTTTACAGGGAAGTTACAGCCTGCTTCACAGAAGGAAAAAAAAATGCATTCTCTCTAGGGTCATTTGTTTTGAATGATTTCAAATTTGCAGAAAGGTAGTAAGAATAATGCTAAGAAATTCCAACCACACTGAGACAAAGTAACAAGCTCCCACTATAGCTTTGATGTTCTTCCTATGTGTTATTTATTATCGTTCACCTTAAGTTTGAGATCCTTCTGCCTGAGGCTCTGGAGTTCTGAAATTGCAGGTATGTGCCCCCCATGTCTGGCTTTTATTATTACTATTGATATATTTGAAAGTATGGCAATATTTTGCAGCATTATCCCTCAATACCACAGTATGCATCTTCTCAGGAATATGGATTCTTTCTCATATAACCGTAATCATCAAAGTGATTATCAAATTATGCAATGATCAAAATCAGAATATTTGACCTAATATTACTGTGTATCTTAGTTCATATTCAAACTTGTCCAGTTGTCTCATTAATGTCATTTAATTTTATTTTTTCTGTTTCAGCATGCCTTCCAGGACAATGCATTGCTTTTAGCTGTGTAGTCTCTGTTTTTTTTTTTTTTTTTTTTTTTCTTTTTTTCATTTTTCCTTTAATCTGGAGTATTTCCTTTATCTTCTATGATGCTAAGCTTCTCCAGAGCCCTGGCTAGTTTTGTAGAAAGCTCCTGTGGGCGTGTCTGGTCTTCTATGCATTTCCTGAATAAACACTATGTAAGGGCTGTCTGCTGAGATGGATGGCGTCTGTTGCCAGCCTGGTTGAAGTGTTATCAAATTGGCCAGAAGGAAAGTCTCACACAAGAAGCTGTGTTTACTGATTTCTTTTGTTCCCTCAATTCTTGGAGTCTGTCATTCTCTCTTCTGAAAGAATCATAGTTGGGTTTCAGAGCTGTTGAACATTTGTCTTCTTCAGCTAATCTCCTCTCCTCCCTCTGCACAGGCCACAGCGGGCAGGAAGTAGACCCTGGTGGTCAGGGAACCCAGCTTGACTAGCAAACATGTTGTGGCAGTCATGACGGTAGGACTGTGACAGAAAGACTGAGCAAAGGCTGTGTCGTGCCCAGGGCTTTTCTTGGCTCTGTGGACAAAGCTGGATCACATTTTCTCAAGAAGCCCAGGACCTACCCCAAGGTGCAGGGTGAAAAGCTACAACCTCCACAGCCTTCAGCTGCACAGAAGCCCTCATGGCTCCTTGCAGGGGATGCAGAAAAGCCAGGAAGAGGACTGCATAGATGGAGCTTTGGGTAGAGAAGGCTGTTGGAGGGCTTTCTGAGAAACACAGAACCTTGTGGGACAGGCTCTTGGTGACCCTTTGCCCTGGGGCCCTGACCACTGTCGACTGTCTCTGAGTAAATTGCAAATCTTTACTTCACTTGCTCAGAGTGTCCTGTATTTTTCTTTGTCTCATTTTTTCCTTTCTCAGTTTATTATGTGTGCTAGTCACGTAGATTGATTATGTGCTTAGTTCATTCTTCTTAGTGTTGAGTAGCAATATACTATGTTCATAGTATAGTTTGTTAATCCACTTTCCTATTTGTCCATGTCTAAAATATTTTAAGTAGAGCTGCTGCAAGCATTCATGCAGAGGCCACGTCATTATTTTTGCACAAGATTTCATCCTCTGTGGCTTGTTTCCTTGTGGTTTCTTTTTTAGATTGAATTTCAGTGTTGACACCAGTAAGCATGAGAGGGGAGGTTAACTGAAGCAGGAAGAACTGGAGCAAGAGTAGAAAGGAGCTTGCAAAGTTTAGGGCACGCATCATGATTGCTTCAGCTGGCAGACTATTTGCCATGTGCACACCTAATCACTGGCAATCTAACTTGACCAGATAATGCCACATTAACTTACAAATTATTGGCACAACTTACATTCCCACCAGTAGGGTTTAAGAGTGGCATGTGCCCTAATTATACCAAGACCTATAACTTTCAGGCTTTTAAAAGGTATTTTAGTTTCAAAAATTTAATGTGTGAGTGTTATGCCTGCTTGTAGTAAGTGCACTCATGTCATGCAATTCCCGAGGAGGTCAGAAGAGGGCATCAGATACCCTGGAACTGGAGTTACTGCCATTTAGCTGCCACGTGGATGCTGGGAATTGAACCCAGGACCTCTGCAAGAGCAGCCAGTGCTCTTAACCGCTGAGCCATCTCTCCAGCTTCAACTTTCAGGCTTTAAAATATTGCATAGATGAAGAATGAGAAATAACTGCTTTTGTGATTTAAATTAAACTTTTCTGAGTTCAGACAGTGAAGATGCTCTCTGGTGGGTTTTAAAAACAATTCGTTATTGTTTATTTAAGGTATGGACTCATTACATAGCACAGGCTGACCTCAAATTCATACCCCCCACCCAAGTGCTGGGGTGCCACTGTGGATGACCACACCCAGCTTCCTAACTGTATCTTTTGCTCACCTTTCTAACTGATTATTCATTTGTTATTCATTTATTTAAAATCATTCATAAAATTTGAAAATTGTGCATTTGTAGTTAAAGGACTGTATTTATGCCAGTATTGCTTCTCTTTTTTCAAATTAAAAAAATTATGCTCCTTGATTAACAAAATTCTATAACTTCAATATAGTAGAAGGAAGCGAGCTTCTAATTTATGCCCATGTTTTAAAATTTGCTTTAAGAAATCCTTCCCTATCTAAAGCTGTAAATGTATCTCTCAATATTTAGTTCTTAATATTGGAATGTCCTTTCTTTTTCTAACCTTTTAAAAATATATCTTAAAAATAATTTATTGAGAATTTCATACAGGGATATAAGTATATAAGGTGTTTTGATCAAACCCATGCCCACCACCTCCCCTCCAACTCCTCCCATATCTCCTCATCATTTTTTTCTGATAACTTCATGTACTCTTTCTTCTTCTTTTTTTTTTTAATGGGCCTTTTTACTACTCTAACATTCCCCCCTCTGAAGAGGTAACCTTACAATCTTTTAAGGATTAGATAAGAGCTCCCAAATACTTTCAACGTTTTTGATTTTTGGAATGGAGTATGTTCTTAAGAGGCCCAAGGACATTTTGACTTTTAGCCAAGAAGCTGGCTACTTTTCTTTGGGGTCTTTTTACACTAACTGCCTAGCCAATTCCTACCTCCTGTTCTTATCACACCATCCTCTGAAGAGGTTAGCCAACTTGTGGATAGGGAATCAGGATTCAGACTGCTCTAGTTTCTTCCATGCTGAACAGGGACACAAGGCAAGGCAATTGGGTACCCCTTCTGCGGGTCTATCTAAAAGACTCCCAAATCACATAACTCTTAACTGTATGGAGAAAAGAAAATCCTTTACTGGTACCTAGGAGATATGAACAAGTAAAGGCAAGAGTAGTTAGCATTACAAGTTCTAGACAGGGAACCAGAAAAAAGTCAGAACAGGGCAAATTTCAAATGTTCATATCAGAGTCCACTGGAATTTCTTGACAAGAGCTTCCAAAACCATCCCTGTATGGCTTCCTCATAGCTGTTGGAGTGGCTAGAATCAGTGTCAGTTCTCGCTAAGGCTTCTAGATGGGGGGAGAAAACAAATTTATCCATCCTCTTAGAACAATAGCAGGTTGTCTCCTGTAGCTACAGGTGAGCACTACAGTACTGGAGACCAAGATTTGAAGTCTTACATCTGAGCAGCACTTTCTGATTCAGAACAAAATCATCAATGAGAGATAATTGTCTAACTTTTTGTATGGACTTAAGCCTAATGTCTGGGAAGTGTAATCCCTTGAACTCCTAAAGAAATATACTGATCACTTTACTCTTTGGTTATACTTTCCTTTTGGGTATTTAAGACCATGAAGTTGGCCCAAATAAATCAATTTATATTTACACTGAAGGTCGTTTGAGGATCTGTTCCTCAGAGGACACATGGGCTTGGGAGGAGCCCCTGGCTCCTTTCTTTTACCAGTTCCATCTATGTGAAGATAAGACCAAGGCTGGCTTTACTTGGAAGCATAGAGGAAATGTTTTCTCTGTGTTGACCCTCCTCTTGTAGACTGGACCCTGGTTCAAGTCCATCTCGTGGGGTCTCCATGGCCTCCCTGAACAAGAGGACAGGTGACTCACCACAGTTACAGGACATTTTGAGAGATGTTCCATACTCCCCTGGAACTTAGTCGACCTTGGAGGGCAAGGGGCAAAAGTCCCTTTAAGTCCCTCTGACCAGATTAGTACAGGCCTCAAAGTATGGCTGTTAGACATCCAATAAGGTTAGTTCCACCAGTCTAGTACTTTTAATTACCATGTGGTATGTAGATAAAGCTTGGGTGAAAAACCAAATGCTCTCAGATAAACTTTGACTAAATATATATTTTGTTCCTTAAACTAGTTGACTAAACTATGACCTTAGAAATTTTAAGATTATGTATATATTATTTATGTCTCATCCTTTATATATCATAATGAACTGTTTGTACCTACTTATTTATTTTTGTGATACTGGGGATTGAATCTAGCACATGCTAGGCAATATCGCCAAGCTGTATTCCCAGTCATTTTTTTTTTTTTTAAAAAAACAAACCCCAACTTTTATTTTAAGATGGGTTGTGTTAAGTTGACCTGGTAGGTCTGGATTTGATGATCCTCCTACCTCAGCTTCCTGAATAGCTGGGATTAGAGATGTGCACCAATAGACCCAGACACAATTGGTCTGATAATCTCTGTTTTTTTCATTGAAATGTTTAGTCCATATGTATTTAATGCAATTATTGATATGGTTAGGTATAGATCTATTGGCTTGCTTTTTGTCTTCTATTTATCTCATGTTTAAAACATCTTCTTAGTTCCTCATTGTCCGCTTTCTAAGTGGGGCAATCTACTATTTAGTGTTCTTTGCTACTGTTTTTGCTTTGATTTCTTAGCTTGAATCCCCCTCTTAGTGTCTTTTCTGGAGCTTATGCTATCCTGTGACAGTACAATGTGTGCTCCTATGTGCTCATTTCTGTTTGAGAACTTCTCTCATGCTTATCACTATCAATCCCAACAAACGCAGATGTACTGAGTAGGTAGTATGTATAGGGATGAGGCTAGGTATTAGAAATATGGCTGTTAACGGGACAGACATGAAGCTCATAGTCTGTTTGAGTAAAAGGAAACCTTTTCCAGCAAAAGAAAAGTGTGACCTGAGCCTCAGAGTCTGAACAGGAATTGGCCATGTGAAGAAGGGACCAGATTGTTCCAGGTTGTGGCAGTGGTGAGCACAAAGACCCAGAGCAGAGGGAGGAATTGGCACTGCATTCAGGGCACGTTAAGACCTTTAGTCTGACTGCAGTGGAATGCCTGTAGAGTGTGGAGGGTGGCTGGGTGCATACTAGTAACCAGTTTAGCAACTTTGGAGATGTGGAGCTGAGTTTGTGGTATTTAGGTCATTAATATTCATTACCGGAATGAAGAGATTTTGAGCAGATCTCCTGCACATAAAATACATGCCTCCTACATCTAACTACATCCTCCCACTTGGGAGGATTTTTTTCTCTTGCAATAAAGGAGTTTTTATCTTCAAATTTTGTTGTAAGGAAAAAAAAATCACATTCCAGGTCATTGGAGAAAGGAGGGAGCCTCAGTTTTGCTGTGTCTGGACCACCACAGGTGGTCCCTCCCTCTCTGTCCTTTCCAGTATAGTGAGGAATTTGTAAGAGAGTCCATCTGAGGACACCTCCAGCTCAGCCGTGCCATGGTTTATTAGCCATTAACACCTTGATGGAAATTGCTTTAATGGATGTTTGAGCTCCGTGGATATGTAACAGTATGAATATGGACTCTGTTTACACGGGCAGAAAATAGTTCAACTTAGCTTAGCAAAACAGGAGAATTTATTTCTAGGATCTGGGGAGAGGGATGTCATAGCACCTATGGCCAGCACAGAACTAAGACCTTGGATAAGAAGAATCTGCTGCCGGGTCCTCCATGAAAGGGGAGGCTGGTCTGCAGACCAGACAGACACAAAATGCATTGTCTCCACCTGGGTTATGGCTTTTTATTGGGGGCATTGGCCCCACGAGTGGAGGAAACGTGGGCTTGTCTAGATGTGACCGTCCCGAGGACTAGTCTTGACGTTCTTCCCTCACTGGGTGTGCGGGTGGAGGGGATGGGGATACACGCACTTCTGGAAGAGTTAGGGGGTATATCTATGACAAAACCCACTCATACTAAGAAACAAGCCCATTTTTTCTGGGACCTTTTTCTTGAGCTGAGAGTCACCCTTGCTCATGGGTTGGCCCCCAATAAAATCTCCCAGTAGGATTGGTGACTTCCAGCCAATGCAACATGGAAAACAGAAGACAAACAAAATGTGTTTACTCAAAAGGAGGTATCAGAGTAGACGTAAGGACTGTTGCAGGGCTCTGGCCACAGTCCCCCCTAAACATTAAGGCTAATTAGTGAAATGGGATCTGAGGGCTCAAAGCAAGAGAAGAGGTCTGGTTGCAACAGCGGCTTTTAACTTTACTCAGGTGGTCCTAATTTCTCAGTGAGACTTCTCATCTTTCTTCATATAGTGAAAGTGTCTGAAGCCCAAGTGTCTAGGGCCCCACAGTGCCGTCAGGATGGTGGGTGAAGGCCCCTACCTTATCTCAGACCTGGAGCAGCGAGGCCAGCGGAGACCCTTTTCAGAGAGATATGATCCAAGCCTGAAAACCATGATCCCAGTTCGACCCAGTGCAAGGTAACAGAGGAGGATTGAAGGTGGGCGGGGCGGGATCCCCAGGGGTGGTTCCTAGGTCCTCAGGAGATGGTGCATTGTTCCCCAAGCGCTGCTCTGCATGTGTCCTTCTATTCATCTAGCCACCCATAGATCCATTTGTTGATCACTACCTTCTCACTTCCTCCACTCGGTGAGAAGACAGCAGCTACAGCTGCAGGAGCTTTTCCTGGGACTGTCCAAGCATTTTACAAACATTTGTAGGTTACAAACATTTCATTCACTTTGTGTGTGTGTGTGTGTGCTTGCCACTACATCTAGCTTCTCCACTCTTCACAACCATCCTAGAGGTACTGTCATTCTCTTTATGTGATGGGAACGACACAGAAACAGAGAGGCTAAATAATTTGCCCGAAGTTCAGCAGTAACCTTTCCTCTTAAACAAACTGCCTTACCATTTCTTGGCTTCAAGTGATGCCTACTTACTCAGTATACAGTTTTCTGGGTGACACATAAAAGAAAGCAACCCAGGCTGAGATGGTTTGACTCAGGCATTTCTGCTTAGCAAGGTGGCTGTGCCAATGGTCGACTGATGCAATGGCGGTAACTGGGCCTTGTGGTCAGTCTCCACATGCCTCCAGCATGCTAGCTTCATACCCTAGGCTTCCAGGAGAAGGAGTGGATGCAGGAAGGGTGTTTTGAGACTCAGGCTCACAGAGGCACGTTGCTTTTGCTGCATTCTACCTCCAGGGAAGCTGCAGGGCAGCTCAGATTCATGGTGTCAGGAAATAGATTCTATGTCTTGCTGGAATGAGTTGCAAGGTCACATTCCAAGGTGCAGGAATACAGAGACAGAGAATGGACCACTCTTTAACTCCAGGATAGGAACTCGGGCAGTCTGACTTTCAAGCTCATGTATTCAACATTGCAGTATATTATTATTATATATTAACATCATAGAACCACAATGTTACAGAATTCTGCCTTTTCTGAGCCTTTTCTGAGCACCAAAAGAGCCATGTGGCTTGTTGTCTGGGGAACAGAAGGCCGAGTGGCATCTTTGTTGTGCAGTGACACTACCATGTCCTCTCCTAGCATCTCTGGATAGATAATATGCACATTCGAGTCCTGTGTAGTGAAAGGTGAAGGCGGAAAGGCCAAGGCAAAGGACACTGCTCTTAGGAGAGCCCTAACTACCCAGCATTTTAGCTCAGCTTACCATTGCTTTGTGTAAAGGCCATGGCAAGCAGTGCTTCTGAAAATGACAGAAGCCTGGAGACAGCCAGGAAGCTCTCTGAGGTCCTGTTCCATCACTCAGGGCAAGAACTCTACCTTCTCTGTGCCTTGGTGTTTCTGTCTATGAAATGGGACCAGAATGCTGCCCTCCTGCCTATCTGTCGAGTTGTTGCAGGAACTGCATGAAGCAATGAATGGACTTTGTTGTAAAAAACCACCTTTTAGGAAATTTTTGCTGTGTGCCAGCTACATGGTACCTTGCTAATATTGTCTAACTTTGGGTCCTCTCAGAAGCCCCAGTCAAGAGCTTGGATATAGGCAGCTTATTTGGGAGGTGATCCTGGGAAGTGTTTATAGGAGAGATTTAGGGAAAATGAGGGGAAAAGGTAATGGGGTATGTCCCTGCTGTGGGCAAGGGGGATAGACTTTACTACATCTTCCTGAGAAACAGCCATTTTTCCACCCAAAGGATGCGAGGTGGTGCATCCCTCCATGGCTCTCATGCTCCAGTAGTCAAGTTTTCCCCAGGGGGCGTTAACCCTTGTGGTTCTGGGCTGCACTTATGCTCCTGAGAAGTCCTGAATGGTATAAAGAGGTGTAGTCCCATTGAGATGGGACTCTGCCCACATGAGCTTGCATGAAACCGTCCTCTGTACTGAGCTTCATGCAAGGGCATCTTTATCGCATCTGCTACGAATACAAAGCTGTTCACTATGGACTATGATAAACACTCAGTGACGGGTAGGTGACACTCTGTGTCTTTGGCTTTTATTAGATGATTTATTTCTCAAGGGCAAAGCCATGAATCTCTTTATTGCCTGCCTTCCTTCCTTCCTTCCTTCCTTCCTTCCTTCCTCTTTCCTTCCTCCTTCCGTCCTTCCTTCCGTCTCTCTTTCTTTCTTTCTCTTTTTCTTCTCTTTCTTCCTCTCTCTCCCCTCTTTCCTTCCTCCTTCCGTCCTTCCTTCCGTCTCTCTTTCTTTCTTTCTCTTTTTCTTCTCTTTCTTCCTCTCTCTCCCCTCTTTCCTTCCTCCTTCCGTCCTTCCTTCCGTCTCTCTTTCTTTCTTTCTCTTTTTCTTCTCTTTCTTCCTCTCTCTCCCCTCTTTCCTTCCTCCTTCCGTCCTTCCTTCCGTCTCTCTTTCTTTCTTTCTCTTTTTCTTCTCTTTCTTCCTCTCTCTCCCCTCTTTCCTTCCTCCTTCCGTCCTTCCTTCCGTCTCTCTTTCTTTCTTTCTCTTTTTCTTCTCTTTCTTCCTCTCTCTCCCCTCTTTCCTTCCTCCTTCCGTCCTTCCTTCCGTCTCTCTTTCTTTCTTTCTCTTTTTCTTCTCTTTCTTCCTCTCTCTCCCCTCTTTCCTTCCTCCTTCCGTCCTTCCTTCCGTCTCTCTTTCTTTCTTTCTCTTTTTCTTCTCTTTCTTCCTCTCTCTCCCCTCTTTCCTTCCTCCTTCCGTCCTTCCTTCCGTCTCTCTTTCTTTCTTTCTCTTTTTCTTCTCTTTCTTCCTCTCTCTCCCCTCTTTCCTTCCTCCTTCCGTCCTTCCTTCCGTCTCTCTTTCTTTCTTTCTCTTTTTCTTCTCTTTCTTCCTCTCTCTCCCCTCTTTCCTTCCTCCTTCCGTCCTTCCTTCCGTCTCTCTTTCTTTCTTTCTCTTTTTCTTCTCTTTCTTCCTCTCTCTCCCCTCTTTCCTTCCTCCTTCCGTCCTTCCTTCCGTCTCTCTTTCTTTCTTTCTCTTTTTCTTCTCTTTCTTCCTCTCTCTCCCCTCTTTCCTTCCTCCTTCCGTCCTTCCTTCCGTCTCTCTTTCTTTCTTTCTTTCTTTCTTTCTTTCCTCCCTCCTTCCTTCCTCCTTCCTTCCTTCCTTCCTTCCTTCCTTCCTTCCTTCCTTCTTACCTCACCACTTTTTCCTCCTCTTTCTCTTTCTTTCTTTCCCTTCCCCTTTATTTCTTTATCTTCCTCTTTTGTCTGGCACTAATACTTGTGCAGCACTTGATTTGTGTGAATCTGCTCTCGTGCTACCTACAGGCTTGCCTCCAGCTCCTGCCCCCTTGCAGTGTCTCACCCTACTATAACATGCTGTGTTCTGAATCTTCCTTTTCTCCATAGAAGAAAATTCACGCATTTGACCACTCTGATGGTGTTGCTAAAATTCCTTCACAGGGGGCTGGTGTAAACAATGTTCTTCCTCTCCTCCCTTGGTCCCAATGGCAAACCAAGGTACGATTCCACCAGAGTGCACTCTGGGAAGCCAGTGAGTTTAATGGGTGAGAGGTTACTTACAGGAGTGTGCGTGCTCTCCACCAAAGGCTGTACCAGAAACTCTTCACCCAAACATGGATGGTGGGTTCCTCATAGCCACATGTAATGGTGAGAGAGCCCCCCTCCTAGTGTTTCCCAGCCTATGTACTCTAGTCCCTCTCCAGGTCACAAGCGATTAGGACTGAATCCTAATCACAACTTGGGAGGTATGGTTGCACGCTCAGACTAGGGTCCCTGGCTCTCTCTGCCAGTCCTTCTATGCAAGGAGGGGGGCATGAACAATCCACAAGCCCAGCTATGACCATCTTAGGCAAGCAGCAGGTATAGCTGAGCTCAGGAAGATGGCATCTGTCTGTTAGAGGATTGTCCTATAAACAGATAGCCAAGTAATGGGCCTCAGTTTCCCTATGTGTTAAATACAGCAGGTGCCCTCTCTCTCATGAGACTGAAATGCTGGGAAATGTTCAACAGCCTCTTCATGGGAAACATTCCCAGGCTTATAGCATTTATCAGTATTTATTCATTTTTTTATTAGCAATTTCACATATAGATTTTAACCATACTCACCCCACATACTTATCAATTTTTCTCATGTGAGTACCATACTATGGCCAAGTTCAAGCTCCCAATATGACATCACTGAATATGAAGCTGGAAAGATGTTCAGTATGTCAACATTCCAGGCATTTCCACCACAAGGACAGTGGACACGAAGTCCTACAAGAACGGATAGAGTAGCATAAGTGCTTGGTTTGGAGGCACATTAGCAAAGTGGGGATGATACAGAGCGGAGTCAAGGGTGACACGCAAATTCATGCCGCACTCTGCGTTTTTAAAAATACAATCTAAGGGGCTAGACAGATGGCTCAGCAGTTAAGAGCAATGAACTGCAGAGGACCTGGGTTCGATTCCCACCACCCACATGGGAGTTAAGAAGTGTCGGTAACTTTAGTTCTAATCCAGCACCTTCTTCTGACCTCCATGGCATTGCACGACACGGGTGCACTTACATATATGCAGGCAATACACTCCTACACATAAAATAAAAATAATAAATTGTATTTAAAAAAATCTAGCCTAATAAAAGTATTATAAATTATAACCAAGAAATAGTAAAATAATTAGGAAATGGTAAGTTTTGAGTATGATTATCTTTGATTTTGGAATACTTTATTTAAACATATGTAACTCAATTTCGAATATTGGCTGTGTTTAACAATTGGCTTGCAAAATTCCTGAAAATTTAACCATCTGCTGTCAGGAGCTGGGATAAGCTGGCCTGAGAACCACTGCTCAAAGGGTTAATGAATGCAAGTCCCAGGTTTCACACATGGCTGTGATTATTACTGTGATTATAAATTCAAACCAGGGCATCAGGGCAGTGAGCCCAACACCCAGGAACCTGAGAATGACATTTGCTGTAGGTTGGCACCCAACCCGGTGGATGATGCTGGGCTACTCTCCTTTGCGACGTTTTCCTGGCTCACACCTATGATGATTCAAAGTTACAAGCACACACTGACTGTGGATACCCTGCCCCCACCATCGCCATATGACTCATCTGACATCAACTCCAAAAGGTTGGCTTGGATCACCCGGGGAGTGGAACCCACCCTTAGCAAGGGGTCCTGTGAGCCCTTCTGGTGCCTCTGTTTCCCCTGTGATACTTCTGGGGGCTGCTGACCCTTCTCAGTGGCTGCTCACTGAGACTCAGTTGGAATGCCTGTACTTCTTGGTCCAATCTCTGGGAAAGGTAAGGACTGGGTAGAGAGCGTGGAGAGAGGGGTCTGGGGAAGCTATAGTCTGAGGCCGGGGACTGCTCAGCCCATGTGCAGGAGCACATGTGGACAGGAGGCTGGGAATGCACTTGACTCTGCTGGTTGGGTGACACCTGGGATGCTGCATGAGGCCCTTAGGTTTCATTTCCATCTTTACTTTAAAAAGCATCATTGTATTTTGCAAACTGCCTATATTTGCCAATTGTAAAAATGTGTCATTGGTCCCAACTAATTCATGTTAATTGCAGTATAACAGTATCTAAGCAGTGGAAGTAACCTCATCATGCATGTTTCTGTGCCCCTCACCAGAGGCAGGCACCATTAAGCATCCTCAGCTTTACATGCCACAGACCTGCTACACGGCCTTCCTTTCGGATCTTTGAAATGCATAGCCCCCTTTGTTTTCTTGAGACGGGGGTCTTGCTATATTGCCTAGTTTGGCCTAATCTTCCTGCCTCAGCCTTCCAGGAACTGAGATTACAGGAATGGGTCACCATGCCTGGGACTTCTTTGCTCAGAGAAGACTTTCCTCTTGACTTCTCAGTTGCCTCTGTCTTCTTATGATAGTGGATATTACAGCTAGGAGGCAGAGGAAGCAAAGATATGGGGTGTCCCAGTGCAGATATTCAGGACAGCTTTGGTCCAGGCATTGCCTCCTGCCCCTCCGGTGTTCTTCCTGCCCCAAGGAAGAAGAAAGAGAAGGAATGATGCTTGCCCAAATGCACCACTGACTGGAACCTGCACCTTTGCGAGGGTTTGCCCACCAAAGCAGCTCCAGACTGTGGGTGACACGGAACGTCTGCCCCTTCCCCTTCGTTTTCTTTCACTGCAGATTTCAGGTACTTTGGAATGAAGAACTACAAAGGGTAGGGCCTGAGAGGGCATCTCTGGGCCGCGTGGTTTGGAAATTCCAGAGGACTCGTGTTCTGATGGACGTCGTGGCTAACATCCTCTGCGTCGTCATGGCAGCCTTAGGGCCGGTGAGTGGGGCTGGCTCTTTTGCATTGTCACTAAGGTTCCCAGCTGGGCAAAGCATGTCATTAGTCACTTTCTCCACGAGCTGGTGGGTTTAGTACATTGTCTTTGTCTTTGTGTTCCTTGGGGGCAAATTTTTATAAAGCTGATCCTTGTCAAGCACAGCAGCCACCACTGAAATTAAAAAGTTTGCCTCATAAAGTCAGCTTGCTGTTAACTGAAGCCTCCTGTGAGAACCTCTACTCCAGTGGCCTTCCCTTCTATTTTACAGACAGTTCTCATTCACCAAATCCTCCAGCACATTACCAGCATCTCCTCTGGACATGTCGGGGTTGGCATCATCCTGTGTGTGGCCCTTTTTTCCACTGAGTTCACCAAAGCCCTCTTTTGGGCCCTTGCCTGGGCCATAAATTACCGCACCGCAATCCGGTTGAAGGTGGCCCTCTCCACACTGGTTTTTGAAAACCTGCTATCCTTCAAGACATTGACTCACATCTCTGCAGGCGAGGTAAGCTGGTCTAGAAGGAGTCTAGGCTTAGAAAATCAATCCCGTTTTTGTGACTGCGTGGGATGTACTTCCTCGATGGCGTGCCTGCCTCCCTTTAGCTTGTTTTTTTTTCTGCGGGTTGCTTTGCTTCTCCATGCTAGGTGAGGTGAGGACACAGGAGGTCAAAATGTGGGAAGGATTCAGAGAGAGGAGGGCTCCCATCTGAGCTGCAGAATCTGAAAAGTTGGTACAGGATTGGGAGCGATATCCAACCCCTTTGATTACCAAGGAGGACACTGAGATGGTGCAGAGCATACTATAGATATTTAACAAAACCGATGGACAAGCCGGGTGTAGTACATACCTGTAATCCTACTATGCAGGAGATGGAGGCAGGTGAACCAGGAAGTTAGACCAGCCTGGACTACATAGTGAGACTGTGTTCCCCTTACTCTCACCAAAGTTGTATAGGATTTGGTATTCCAAAACTATGGTAAAAACCATGCCCACTATACCTCAGAGTTGACATTTTCTTAAGCCCCTTAGTCTTTAGTGATAAAACCTTTGCCGTTTGTTCAAGAAAAATTCCCCAGTCAAGGGAACCCTACATGGTATGACATAAAAGGACTTACCTCTCTTTTACAGTTGCTCTTTCAGTATATTCAAAACACCTTACATCAACTACAAGCAGATTCTGCAGGTGACAAAACAAGGACTGGCGCTTAGTTGGTAGAGTGCTTGCCTAGGATGCACAGAGGCCTTGGATTCTATCCCAGTACCACATAAACCAGGGGCAGTGGAGGCAGAAGGTTCAGAAGTTCAAGGTCATCCTTAGCTACATAGAGGATCTGAGGCTATCCTGGGATACACAAGATCTTGTGTTTTAAAAAAAAAGATGACTGGATTGAACAAAGTGAATTTATTTCACTCTATTTAAAGAATTTGGAAGAGGGTAATCCAGGACTTGGGGTGTGCGGCTTTGAGAGCCTCCTTTTCCTTCTTGGGGTGTGCGGCTTTGAGAGCCTTTTCTTTCTTCATCGTTGTTCTAGTACATGTCTCTCCTAGTGACTCAGGACAGAGAGTAGAGGTCTAGCCACATCAACCCAGGTTCAGGTGGTCATTAGGAGAAAGGAGAGAAAAACAATGTGCCTTCCAAGGGTAGAGCTAGCTCTCTTTAGGAATTCTTCCCCATGTCCCATTCTGCACTTAGGCTCATGATCCATCACAGTCACATGGGCACAGCCTTTCCACAAAAGAGGCCTAGAGATCCCTCCACCTCCTCCCCTCTCCCTCATTTCTCTCTCCTTTTCCTTCTTGGATGATTGGAGACAGGGTCTCACTGTGGAGCCCAGGCTGGCCTGGAACTCAAGATCCTCTTGCTGTAGCCTCCCAGGTGCTGGGATTATAGGCATGTATCATCATGTCCAGTAGATAAATAACCTCTTAGTTGGGCATGCTGCTGTCTTAATAAAACAGAGCTGTGTTAATAAAGGACAGGATAGACACAGGGCCCCCAGCTAGTACTGCCTCTTTTGGGGACTTTTCTTCTTTGGGATTCTTAGTTCCAAGAAACTGGTCCTCCAAAGTTATGCCAGTATGAGACCACACAACTCGTATTGTCCCCAAGGTGCCCTATCCCCTACCCTCCCATCTCCTCACCCCCTGTCCCCACAACTCCTCACTCCTGGCCAATTGGAAAGCTTTTGAAAGAGTCCTAAGCTTGAATCCATGTGCTTTTTTCTAGGTGCTCAATATACTATCAAGTGATAGCTATTCCCTCTTTGAAGCTGCCTTGTTTTGTCCCTTGCCAGCCACTGTCCCCATCCTAATGGTCGTTTGTGCAGTGTACGCCTTTTTCATTCTGGGGTCCACAGCTCTTGTTGGGATATCTGTGTATATCGTGTTCATTCCAATCCAGGTAATGCAGGGATGTGTGATTGGAGCTGCTTGACATTTGCATTTGGCACACACATTTTCCTCAGGTTCAGCAGAGGCCTTTGTTTCTGGGACATGCACCCCAAACCTGTACCTGTCTATGCTCACAGGTGTGCTGCCTTCTGCTGGCCCAGTGCCGTTTCCTAAGAACTTGAATTTGAGTGCCTTCAGGGAGGGGGGGATTCTTGCACAGTTTGTCAAAGCCCCCATGCCGACCTTGCATCCTGGCACTTTATATATTACTGCTAGATCCCTAGTGGCTTCCCCAGGCCAGGTAAGCTGGCACAACTCAAAGGAAGGACTGGACTGAGGATCTCAGCCAAGTCCCCTTAGAACTTTGTCTGGTACTTATGTTCTGATCCCTGAATTTTTAGGCCAACTGCAACTCAGCAGTTCTCCCTGAACACAGTGCTTGTGCCTCGATTTCAGATGTTTATGGCCAAACTCAATTCAGCTTTCCGAAGATCAGCAATTTCAGTAACAGACAAGCGAGTTCAGACAATGAATGAGTTTCTGACCTGCATCAAGCTGATTAAAATGTACGCCTGGGAGAAAACTTTTACAAACACCATTCACGGTAGGATGAACAGCTTCGAAAACCCCTTACAAGGGCAGAATGTATCCTTCTAGGGGTCCTGAAGGGTGCAGGGCCAGGTAGTACAGAAGGGAGCTGAGGGTTCCAAAACCCCTAAGGTACTCTAAAGGTCAAAGGATTTTTCCAAGGACCGTAGTGATTTTGTAACAAACCTAGGCATCTGTTCCGATGAACCCAAGGGTGAGTGACATATGGTTTGGTCTTCGTTAGGGCACAGGGAGTCTGGTGCTGGCCAGTTACCCTTTACAAAAATAATCCACAAACATATTGGCGCAGTAGAGGAGCTGTCTCAGACTATCTCATTGTCTTAGGAAAATGTTTACAGCCTGCACCCCCGACCCCGATGCACTGCAGATATATCCTCCTTGCCTGGTGCATTGATTCAGCATCACTCCTTGAGTAGATATGAGGATGGATTTGCAGTTTTTAAAAGATGATATTAAAACTATTTCAATAAATCTAAATGCAAATCTTAATTTTAGGGATAGTTACATAATTGTTGACATGGCTGCAGGTGGCCAGCCAATCAGTGACCTGAGTCACTGTTAAAGTCAGCTCTCAGGGGGCTGGAGAGATGGCTCAGTGATTAAGAGCACTGGCTGTTCTTGCAGAGGACCCGGGTTCAGTTCCCTAGTACGCACATGGTGACCAACAACCATCTGTAATTCCAGTTCCAAGGGAACCTGACACCCTCTTCTGACCTCCACAGGTATTACATGACACGGGTGCACTTACACACATGCTGGCAGTACACTCATACACATAAAAAAAAAAAAATCAGCTCTCACTATCTGTCATCGTACCTTTGCATAGGCATGCAATTGCACTGAAGTTTTGTGTCTGGAACTGGCTCTACAGAGCCCACTTCTACCAGTGTGGTGGTGCAGGTCTGTAATTTCAGTTCTCAGGAGACTGAGGCAGGATGATTGCACCTTCTCTGGAGGCTTGGGCTACACAGTAAGACCCTGTGTTCAAAAAAAAAAAAAAAAAAATCAAAGCAAAGCACAAACAAAGAAAAAGAGGACAAAACCTGCTCCTCCATTAACTGAAGGAAATGCCCTACCTGGGACATCTGCAGCCCAGGACTTCACTGAGCACTCAGAAACATGCCTTACAGCCTGAACTCACTTCAATATGATTGAATTGAACTGAATTCTAATTCCATTTGACTTAATTCAACTTAACCCAACTCAATGTAACTCAAGTAAGTTGAATGCAGTGACTACATATCAAACTCCTACTAACTGTAGACCGTGGGAGCTACCCAAGTGGCTATGAAAAGGGTTTCTACTTCTAAGGTTAAGGGAGGACTCTGGAGCTAAGCTCAAAAACAGCCCTGTTTGTTGGCCCCAGAAATACTGGGAACCCATCTGCTGCTCCCCAGTACAAGCCAGTCTCCTCTGCAAGACTACATAGATCAAAAAGCAACCCTGCTTTCCCCTCCCAGCTGCCACTCAATGGTGCCCCTGAGTGACCTTTTAAAAGTATTGGTTGGATGCTGCTTCTTCCCTGTGTTTTGAATGAAATTCAGACTCCTCCATCTGGCTCATTAGGTACATGGTGTGACCTCTGTGACCTCATCACATTGTACTACAACCTTTTGCTGACTCTGCTGTAGCTATGAGAACCTTCTGTTTATTTCTACAGCAACATCCCCAAGCTCCTTCATGCTGCAGGATCCTTGCACTTGCTAAATGATCATGGCCTTGACCTAGGGTCTCTTCCCAGAGGCCACCCAGACCCATGTTCCAAACATGTCCATGCCCTACCAGTGTGCTTATCACTGTGCTCTGGCCATTTCTTTTTGATCACCTCACAAAGTTCACAATTACCTTATTGAATTGTTATTATTCTTTATCTCTTTGGCAACAGTGCCTTGTATATTATATAGGCTAGGTAGCCTGGGACCAGCCATGAAACCCAGGTGGCAGCCAAGTAAAAATTCTTTTGTCTCAGTCTCCCAGAAGGCATTCATTTGTGTTTTTCTTTATTACCTGTCTTCCCCACTGGAAGAGAGCTGAGGCCCTGTTTACTCTGTGTTTCCCAGCATCACACACGGAACTTGTCACATAGCAGACATCAGCTTAAACTCCTGGATGAGTGAATACACATTCTGTAAAGTAAAATAGGGAGAGTGCCACAAAAGAGCTGAGAGAAGCTAAGGAGTGGGGGCTGATGGGGAAACACCCCTGATAGGAGCAAAGGTATAGAGATAGAGAATTGGGGTGTACTGTGGATTCTTGAGCCAAAGGGCACATGGATGGTAGAGCTGAGAATCTGGCATGGTCCCTTAAAAGAAAATGGCTCACCCTGTTGAGAGTGTCCTGTTCTGTCCAGAGGACACCATTCTGGCCTCTGTTATAGTGCTAAGAAGGACCTAGTGAGGCAGTGTGGGACATGTCTGCAGAGCACCTGGCACATAAGTGCTTAGTAAGAACAGCTGTACTGCCTTGGTGGCCTGAATTTCATTTGTGGGCAGTGCAGAGTCCTGGGCACTCAACACATAGGGTAGCAGGACTTGAAAGTGGCCAATCTGTGGCAGTGCTGCTGAGCACCTAATGCCGCTAAGATGTGCCCCAGGGTTTTGATACTTTCCATTTCAGCCTCATTTGGAGGAGGGTCAGGTAGGGGTAATACATGTCTTTTGTTTTTTTGCTTGCTTGCTTGCTTGCTTGCATGTGTGTGTGTGTGTGTGTGTGTGTGTGTGTTGTGTGAGTGCTTCCTTGCACATGTGTGAGTGCATGTATGTGTGTATGTGCATGCATGTGGAGACCTGATTTTGACATCCAGTGTCTTCCTTGATCACTCTCCACTTAATTCACTGAGGCAGGGTCTCTCATTGAACCTGCAGCCCACAGATTCCACCTATTCTCATTAGCCAGTTTGGCCTGGAGATTCCTTGGCTCTGCATCCTGAATTCTGATATTACAGGCAGTGGTTGACACCATCTGCCTAGCTTTTATCTGGGTCCTGGGGATCTGAACTCTAGTCCTCATGCTTGTATGCAAGTACTTTACCTGGCGAGCCATCTCCTCAGCCCAGGAGTAACACATTTCTTTTTTTCCTCCCTTTACACAATTCAAAAAAAATTTAAAATTGAATTTTTATGTATTTCATACAGAAAATCATCTTTGTGACCCTTCCTCTTTGGCCCCCTCCTCCCACTGGAGCTCATACATTCTGTCATTTGTGTTAAGCCCTATCATGTAAAGTTAGTATCCCCAGATGTCCCTCAGTGCAAGTTCATCCACTGGGATTTAGTCAGCCTGTCTAGGGTCCCTCCCTTTAACATCAGCTCTTTCTCACCCAGCAGTAATCGGCTGCCAATAATTCTTTGACTAAGATTGGGACATGCTCTTCATTTCCACAGTTCTGTGCTGGGTTTGTCTGCTTGAGTTTCCATGGGTCTCATGCATGCTGACACCATTGCTGTGGGTTCATATGAGAAGGGTTCCAGGTGCCTGTAGGACTATTTCCATATGATCATGCACCTCCTCCTTTGGCTCTTAAAATCTTTTTACCCCCTCTTCTGAGTCCTGGGTGGGTGGATTTTAATATAGGGGTCCTGTCCAAGGACCCACACTCTGCAGACTCTGTGTTTTGGCATTCCTGGCCCTCTGTTAGTAGTGCATTCCCTAATGTTAGTGTCTGACATGCAAAATAAGACCACCTCCAACTCTTTTCTGTTTCAAAGATATAAGAAAGAGGGAAAGAAAATTACTGGAAAAAGCTGGATATGTCCAAAGTGGAAACTCAGCCCTGGCTCCCATTGTGTCCACTATAGCTATCGTGTCAACGTTTACCTGCCATATCGTCCTGAAACGCAAACTCACTGCCCCTGTGGTAAGAGCTGTCTCTAGACCAGTCTACTTTTGCACCCTACCCTTGGCAAGGCCCAGGTGAGAAACCCTTTTCACCTTTGTTGAGCCTGGCATAAGAACTCCAAGTTACAATATGCCAAATGTTGCCAGGATATGACCTCAATTTTTATTTAATTCATTAATTAAACTTATCTTGCCATGCTGGGGTTTGAGCTTAGGGTTTTTCACATGCTAGGCAAGCACTGTACCCGAGTTACACCTGAGTGCAGGAGAAACCTGCTCACTATTCTTACCCTGTGTGTGCAGGGGTGGGGTAGCTGCTAACACTGAAGCACAATTTTGGGGAGAGCAATGAAACTCAGAGCACTTGGCTGTTTTTCTTCTTATGGTGTATGCTACAATTTGGAAAGTTTGAGACTGCAGGAGAAATGAAAGGGATCAGAACTAGGGCTGGGGCCAGGCTTCCCCCTAGCTTGGGAGCCAATTCTGCCTCTCCTACTTCCTACCTCTGATTTGTGACAAATCATTGCATTCTGGGCCTTGGTTTTATTACCAGGAAACAGCCTGGTAATAGTTCCTGTCAGTGTAGTTGGGAGGAAGGGATGAGTTATTTTGCATAAAGCCGGTGGAATCATCCCTGGCCTTCACATGCTTGTGTTGCCTGCTTCCCACCCAGGCCAGGCAGGTGTCGGCTCAAGCCTCTGAGGGGGTATTGGGATGAATGTAAGATATATATATTTAAACAAGGGATCTGAGTATTCAAAGGTAAAGAAACGCTGAGCTAGAGGGAAAATGGCTGGTGGCTTAAATGAAGAAAAAAATCCAGCTAAGATATTAAACCAAGTGCCTGAAGGACAAGTAGTTGGAGGAAAGTCAGCAAAAGCAAGGGAGGAAAGGTGGGGGGCGAGAACGGAGAGGGGAGAAGCAGTGTAGTGCAGTGTAGTGAAGCTCACAGAGGAAGCATCGCACCCCACATTAGGGGTCTCGGAGGGAGAGGGCAGTACTGCTGAGAAACAGAATGCTCCTTCTGGGTCATCTTCTGTTAATCCCATTAACATCTGCATTATTTTTGGGTGTGGGGGGAGCTTTCCTTTCTTAGGATCTCCAACAGTGCCCACTTGCACTCACTGTAAGGTTTAAAACCCAGTCATGAACCCAAAATCAGAATGAATGTCAATATCTTTTTTTTTTGGTCTTTTTGAAGCAGGGTCTCCCTGTGGCCCCAGATGTATTGGAACTCACAATGTAGACCAGGCTGGTCTTGAACTCACAGAGATCCTCCTGCCTCTGGCTCCCAAGTGCTTGGACTACAGGTGTGTGCCATCATGCCTGGTGAATGTCAATATCTTGCCTAGGCAGAACACTGACAGTTATTGTGACTGATTTTGATGGTCACAAACAATTTTTTTTTTCTCCAGCACTAGCTTACCAAACCAATCGAGTTGAAACCAAATGAGGTCATATTTTCTGATACGGTAGTTTAGAAGAAAGCTAGACTGAAACCAAGTCCCCTGAAAACAGCATTCTTCTGTCTCCAGGGTCAGAATCCCTTGGTACCTTCTTCTGTGAAGGCATTGGCAGCCAAGGTTGGCCCCCAGGAGCTTGGTACCTTTAGGTGGCCTGAATGCTTTGCCAATCATGACCTATGTTTCTTGAGCCAAGATAGTACTTTTGGTCCTGAGAGAGTCAAGTTCTCTTTAGGGGTGTATTTAGGAACATCTTTCATTATCTTATTAACAAAATAATCAAAATTAGTTGAAGCTTGAGACCTGTCCATGGTCCTGGTCAGCAGCAAGCAGCGTCACTCAGGATTTGCTGGAGGAAGTTGTGTTTTAACTGCCCACTGGTTAGAACTCAGTGAGAAATCCCCTAAAGTGAGTGACTTTGGGACTGTGTGTTTGCAAGATGGAAGCTGCAGCTCCACAGGGTCAGATGCCGTTGACAGACCCAGAGTAGAAGGTGAGCTAGCCAAATATGCAAAGGGCTTTGAATGAGCAGTCTAGGCTTGAATGAGGACATGCTATGGATGATGGTCGCAGTTGTTCAGATGGGGGTTTCTCTTGGATAGACTCCCTTCTGGATCAACAGATAAGGGGATACATTTCCTACCATTTTGGTGAAAATCTGCAAAGGAAAATAGATTATGATGCCACTGTCCCTAATTTGCCACCCCATGGTTTCTGAACCATGAAATGAAAAAGTGTTCCTCTGAGAATCCCAACTGTGCTGCTGTTTCTTGTGTCAGGGAGTTTAACCACCCATGGATAGAATGGCTTAGAGCCAAGGCAACTTGCAGTCCTAAACCCTCACTTCTCTTTTCTGTTCTTCAGGCATTTAGTGTGATTGCCATGTTTAATGTAATGAAGTTTTCAATTGCTATCTTGCCTTTCTCGGTCAAAGCAGCGGCTGAAGCCAGCATCTCTCTAAGGCGAATGAAGGTATAACTAACACTGGGTGAGTAGGGAAGAGATCTCATTTCTGGGTGGGAAAATACTTGGAATGGGGATGCTGTATGACTCTACTTGAGGGCGGGTCAGGTCAGCTGTTGAGTGGACACTGAGAGTTGGAGCAGTCAGAGTGAGTGGAGGAGGTGACAGTCAAGGTCTTACAGGAGGACTGGCTTGGTAGGAAACAAGATGGTCTCTATTCAGTCTCTACTGGGCCACAGCATGATTCTGAATTTGCTTCAGCAGTGGGACTGCTTGGTTTGTATTGAATGAGCCCCCTTTAATTAGTTTGTCCTGTTGAGTAATTTATATTTGCCATAAAAAATATAGGTGACATGCAAAAGAGCATTTAAGATGGTTTTGAGGTAAGACAGGAGAAGCAGAAGGGCACCAGGTGTTTCAGGTCTCCATGAAGTGCAGAGTCATCTCCAGCATCCTTGGTTCCTGCACCCATTTTCTTACTTCCAAGCAATCCAAGCCCCGTTGAGGCTCCCACCACAGTGTTCTTTCAATTTTAGGAGGCACTATTGTAAGATTGGACTGGAAGGCATACAGTTACTACTTTTAAACACAAAACCCAGTGATGTCACATTCACTTTATATATTGTGATATCAGAAAACAAGTAAAGGTACTTCTTAGACTAGAGGAGAGGTATTATTTCTTCTTTCTTTTTTATTTTTGTCTTCTTTTTGGAGATAAGGTCTCACTATGTAGCTCTAGGTGACCTGGAACTCACTATGCAGATGAGGCTGGCCTCCATCTCACAGAGATCTGCCTGCTTCTGCCTCCTGAGTGCTGGGATTAAAGGCGTGTGCTACCATGCCTGGCTTGGTTGGTTATTTTGTGACTAACCAACCTCTGTAATGTCCCTGTGACCGTCCCCTTCATCAAGGCCTCCATCATTTTGCATCTGAACTGTCACAGTGATTTTTAGGCAGTCTTCCTTCACCAATATTGTTCTCCACACATCTGTATTACAGTCAGTTCCCAAACAGCTGTTAAGTTATCGGTATGCCCACCGAAAATCACCTGCACAGAATCCATGAACCCATGTCCCTTCTAGGACTCTCCTTGAGCCCTCATCACTGGTCCCTCAGTTTCTTCATCTTTGTCTCTCACGCTGTTTCTACCTTGAGCTCTATGACCCAGCAATCCTGAATGACTTGTTTCATGCCACACTCACCAACCAGATCACACTTTGTGTGCTTCTTGGCTTCCGTGCTATGGCTTCTACTCACCCACTCACACTCTTCTCCCTGTTCTTTGCCTGTACAGCACCTGTACAGACTCAGCTCAACACTAACCACATGGACTTCCAGGTAGGAGAGTCAGGTGTCCCGTCTATGGTGATTACAGTGTCTTGTCCTTGCTACACTTCACTACACTGAGCTGTGCATGCCCCCATCTCCTCATAGACAATCTCTTAGACTGATGTATACCAGGTACTTCTAAACGTTTTTTTTTTTTGTTGTTGTTGTTTGTTTTTTTAACTGAGGGAGAGGACATAGCAGAAGCTGAGCGTCAGGCCCTTAGTTTCATATGTGTCAGTGTCATACAGTGTAGCCCATCCCCCACTGTCAGAGGCTGACAGTCTTGGAGATGAAGGTAAAATATAGTTGGATCAGCATTCTTCAATGTGGGTGACCCACATAGGCACCCATTCCAGAGAGTCTGCAGCAGTGGACTATCTCAGCTGTACCATCTCCTGGTAGAATAGCTGGTCAGTTCTGGATATCCTAGGTTGAAATGTCAAGACTGAAATGTTGGGTCATTAGAAAATAGATTGGGAAGATTCTTACAAATGGATGACATCTTCCCATTTAATGTTGTCTCTTTAATCTTAGAAAATTCTCATAGCTAAAAGCCCCCCATCTTACATCACCCAACCAGAAGACCCAGACACTGTCTTGCTTTTAGCAAATGCCACCCTGACATGGGAGCAAGAAGTCGGCAGGAAAAGTAACTCATGGAAAGTACAAGACGAGAAAAGATACTTTTTCAAGAAACAGAGGCCAGAAGTATACAGTGAGCAAAACCCGTCAGCCCACGGAATTGCTAGCCCAGAGTGGCAAAGTGGAAGCCCCAAGTCTGTTCTGCACAACATCAGCTTTGTGGTGAGAAAGGTGGGTGTGTCAGTGAACTTTGTATTGCTGTAATAAGGACCTGGGGAGATGACTCAGTCAGTACAATGCTTGCTGCACAAACATGAGGACCTGAGAGTTTGAATCCCTAGCACCTACATAAAAAACTGGGCACATTGGGGCTTCCTGTAATCCAGTACTCCCTCCCCAGTACTCTTAACCACCATGAAATACCACTGTTGTAAAAAACACAATTCAGTGTCCAACCAACCCAGCAAATGGAGGCCAGAGCCACTGAACCAGCCAGACACTATGGTCCTCCCTTCCCTCGAGTGAGGATAGAGCCTTCAGACAAGGCTAGGAATCTAAGGACTACTTGACTTCCTCTTGCTCCTCCTGCCTTATTGTATTGTGCTGGGATACCTGCAGGGGCACTCTGAGGGTGGTGGTGTTGATTTTGCTCCCTAGGGCTTGGCGTTATTCTTGTGCCTAGTAATTTGGTGTCTCATTTTGTTGACCACATTTCCCCTATGGAAACATTACAGAAGGAGAGGCCCTACAGCTAAAGTGGAGACTGTTCTCTCTTGCAGCTAACAAGGTCATCTGCCTCATAGCCGCTGGAAATGGTATTTGATGTTTGGTGGGCTGAAAACCATGGTGCTTGGATTGCAGATGCATCCTGCCGAATGCAGTCATTGTTTTCTTCCTGTCCCTCTCCCCTGCCTCTGAGGAGCGGCACCTGACTGCTCCCTAGTTGCTTCAGACAGGCTCAGGAAACTGATGTAATCCAAAGAAACTGCTTTTTAGCCCTTCATTGCTTTGCTCCATACTCTTTTTGGTGCATTGGTAACATCCAGGTTTGTACATCAAAAGCATGGCGAGCATTTTGTGAAGTAAGGAGAAAATATTGCTGGGACATTGGAGTTATGTGGACTAAGGTCCTGCCTCTGGAGCCTGGCAGACCTCAGGTCCAGGTCCAGCCACTGACCAACTATTTTACCTTAGGTACATTGCCTAAGTTCCTAAAGTTCCTGTCTCTTTACGTGTGCTGCATGGATTTCTATAAAAGTACCCAGTTCACAAGGTGATTGTGAGAATAGAGAGGCTATATAAAAAAGTGCTAAGCCCATGGTAAGTTTCAACTGCTGTGATCAAGTGATGTTCTCTTTCCTTTAACAATCATGTCCAGTTTAAGTGCTGCCCTTAAATGTTCTAAATTCAGGCCATTTAGCTCTACAATTCCATTAAGCTCTGCCCTCTGGGATGAGATCAGGGTCATTCACAGTTATGCCCTTAACCCCAAGTCAGTGCTGGTACAGATGCAGCCATAGGATGCAGACCTCCTGATTTTTCTGCTGAAAACAGGATGAGTCTAGAAGGCCCCAAGAAATGGCCAGGACTCAAGGAGGTTCACACAGAGGACCTGTGAAACTGGTCCATATCTATAGCGTCTTCGTCGCTGAGCCTCCGTAAAGCCTCATCTCCTTGAAGTTCTTCTGCAATGGAAAGTGTCAGTTTCATAAACCTGCAGTTGCAATGACACTGTGAGTGCTGTAGGACAGAGACTGCGTCCGTCCTGATTGCTGCTTATCCTCCACGTCTATGTTTATCTCCTTGCCTGATATTTGGCATTCAATAAAGATGTATGAAAGAAGTAACTGATGGCAGACAGTAACCCTTCATGTGCTTGATGTGGCTGGGAGGTAATTGAGCGTGTTCAATCTAGCTTGGGGTGGGAAAGGAGCCATGTTTGGCCTCATGTTGAGAACATCTTTTCTCTAAGGGGTTAAAGCACCCCTACTTGTGAATGTCCTAGAATGCTCCACATGTAGCCTCTGTTCAAACACAGTAGCAGTCAGGCAATCAGTTGACCCTCTCCCTCTGGGATTATCCCAGAGGTCTATGTGGCCCCTGCCTTCCGCTTTCAGATCTTATTCAATGTCACCCATCCTGTCACATGTACCCGAGACCTTTAGGTGTACTCTGGCCACCTTGTAATGGCTGTGCTGGATAGCTTTAGTGTCAACTTGACACACCTGGGTTGAGGGAGCCTCCATTGGGGAACTTCCTCCATTGGACTGGCCTGTGGCCATGTCTGAGGGGCATCTTCTTGATGAGTGATGTGGGAGGGCCCAGCCCACTATGGGTGGTGCCACCCCTGGGCAGGTGGGCCTGTGTTGCATAAGAAAGCAGGCTGAGCAGGGGCCAGGGAAGCAAGCCAGTAAGCAGCATTCCTTCATGGCCTGTGCTCCAGCTCCTGCTTCCAGGTTCCTGTCCCGAGTTCCTACCTTGGGCTCCCTGATGAACTGTGACCAGGGCGATGTAAGATAAATAAACCCTCTCCTCCCCAAGTTGGTAGTGGTCAGAGTGTTTTGTCATAGCAATGAAGAACAAACTAGAACAATGGCCAAGTCTACATCAGAGCCTGAGGGCTCTACATCTTACCCACAGTCCTCAGGCAATGAAGGAGTGTTGGGGCATCATACAAAACTATGCTCACTTTCCCAGAGATTCTTCAAACTTCTGTGCAGCACAGGACTTGACCTGCCTGTTGTGTGGGCTGACTTAGCAGAACATGTTTTACTGGTGCCATTCTCTTCCCAGATCACCGTCTTCCTTCCAGATGCTATCTGAACCTCTCAAACAAGCTTCCTTGGCTCAAATTCTGACTCAGCATGTGTTTCTGGGAGAGCACAAGCTAATGCATCTCCGTCCCAGTGAGCCTTCCTTGTCCCCCATCCCTACCACCCCTCTTCCTACAGCTCCATAGTGCACTTTTGATGAAGTCTGTATTTCAGTTGCTTTTCTGTCCATTTCCCCTGACTGAAACATAAGCTGTATGGGGGCTCACATAAGGTTCACCTGTTGTGTTCATATCCTGGGCAGGTAGGATTGCACTGGGATCCAGGGTGTGCCTCTGTGGTGACCCTGGAGTCAGGGTTGCTGCTGGTACTTGTAGCAATGCCGGGTATATCGTAGATGCTCAGGGATGGTTGATGGTTGAATTGACACATCTACAGCTATAAAGTCATCCACGAGCCCAACCTGTAGAAATGGTGGAATGACTTTATTTAAATCAAGTTGTTATGATGGAGGATTTCACAAAAATTGACTTCTGAAATCATTCAACTCTCCACACTTCAAAGATTTCCCTCGTTCTCCTGGGCCACGTCCCCTTTATCCCATTCGACCTGCCTTCCTGGACTCCAGGCACAGGACAATGCTCATTTCCAGAGCCCATATGCCCCAGATTGGCACAAGGCTGTTTTCCATTACTGTGTGAACAGGATTTCCAGATTTCTAAAAGTCCTCTGGGCACTCTGCTAGTTTCACAAGGGAGGGCATTTAATTAAAACTCACATCTCTGCATCCTACCAAGCTGTGCATACTGGGCTTGGGGGTGAGGCTGCAGCTGCTACCTTGCAGAGCTGGCAGTAGCCTCTTGGCTGGCTTGGCCTGGCCTGGTCAACATAGTGATACCTTTGGCTCACAACCCTCTGACAATTAAGGGAGTGACTGTATTATCTCTACTTCTTTGACAGGGGAAAGTCTTGGGAATATGTGGGAATGTTGGAAGTGGGAAGAGCTCCCTCATTTCAGCTCTCCTAGGACAGGTAAGTGTATAGTGAGAGCCGGGAAGACTTTGCATTAATAGGACAGCGAAAGGATTTCCTTCCTGTAGACTTTAGGGACTTAAGGAGCCTATAGAAGAGTGGCCAGGTTTGGCTGCACGTGGTCCCTGTGAGCATGGCAGATTCCCTTGGGTTAGTGCACTTTGTAGCTCCATGCCCCTTGGCTAGATAAGGGTCAAATTTTTCACGATCTTTGGGTTTGTCTCCCAAGGATAGGTGCTAAAGGGTGATTGCATCCTTGCCTGCTCCATATTAGTCCAAAAAACTGATGGGACATTAAATCCATGGTTTCCCCCCATGACTTGGGCTGCCCTGATTTATAAAAGCCAGTAAGGCAGCTTGGTGGAGAATGTAGGCGCCTGGGACTTAGGGTGATTTTTGATGTATTTTTCTTTCTGTTTGTTTCCCAAACAAACCCCAATACTTGCCTGAGAGCCTTGAGGCATGGAGGCAGCAATGTGACCCTAGCTCTTCTGCAAAGCTTGTATAGGAAAAGGGAGGTTCCTGGCTCTTGTCCCTTCTCTGCTACCTCTAGCTCTGGGACCCCAAGGAAGTGGTGAGATGATTTACTATATTCATAGGTGACCTTCATAATGTCATGGTTATTAAATTTTACCCTAAATGAAGGAGAAATTTTTTGAGGTGGGTACTCCTTGTCCTCCATACTTGTTTCTGAAGAGAAGGTTGAATGAGTTGGGATTGCCTATAGTTGAATGAATTTGGGAAACCTCTGAAGAAATGGCAACATGAGGCTCCCAGGACCCACCGGAATGGAAGCATCATTCCAAGCTCCAATGTGATTGGCTTCTTTGGCCTCTTGTGACTCTCTGCAGGGAGAGTGACTGCTACTGCCCTGCCTGGAGGTGAAGTGGGGCCTGGGTTTGGTAGGCTTTTGAGGTACCATGCTCTGAGACTCAGCACGTGTGCTTCTGTGAGAACCCTAGAGTCAGTGGGCATGCTGAAAATGACCAACCCCACTGCCCACCTAACAGCATAGGCCCTCAACAACGTGAGAGATAATGCAGCCTCTGCTCAGACTTCCCCCGCATTGGGAAGCACATTTGTTCACAGCCAGTTCCCTTTTTGCAGTGTTTTGAGTCCATTGGAATGAAACTTGCTCCCTTTTAAATTCTACCCCCTGATCTACTCCTCTGGAGCTTCTCCAGAGGAGAAAAAAGAATCCATCTTCATAAACAGGCATGGGATCACTCCCCTTACCATGGACAGGGGAGGCAGAGTAGCATGGAGGTTAAGCCAATAGGCTCCTTCTTTCCTTGGACAAAGAAAGTGACCATTCTGACCCTTGTCAGAGAGGCTAGGAAAGCTGTGGTAAGGGATAAATAAGCCAATGTACATATTAGTTAGTTATAGGTTAACTCCCCAATGATAAGCATGCTAACTATATTTAGCAGTCCCTGGAAGGTACCTACTGCTTCTAGAGCTGTTATTATTAATATCATTGTCTCTTCTCCAAGTCTAATTCAGTGCCCCTTGAACCATTCCTAAGGTGAAACCACAAGGCATCCTTTGACATCTTACCAGCTCAGCCAATCTGCCATCATCTCATGGTCGTCATCCTGAGTGTTGTGGCCTTCCCTGCAAATCCTCTCTTTCATTAGCTTTAGATGGTTATTACCAGTAGTGTTTGCCATTATCTGTCAGAAGCCAGCACACTTTGTAGGGTTAGTTTAACTGATTCTACATACTCAGTGTCACAAACTGGGCTTCACACACGTTTTCTAATTAGACTGCCCAATATTTTCAAAGTCCTAAATTTCTTTCTTTTTTAAAAAAATATTTGTATTTTTGTTTTATGTGAATGTGTGTATTGCCTACATGTTGGTAAGTGCACCCATGTTGTGCAATGCCCACGGAAGACAGAAGAGGCTGTAGGATCCCCTGGAACTGGAGTTATGGACAGTTGTTAGCTGCTATGTGGGTGCTGGGATTCAAACCTGGGTCTTCTGCAAGAACAACCAGTGTTTTTAACTGCTGAGCCATCTCTCCAGCCCCTCAAAGTCCTAAATTTCTACATGAACCTAGATTTCCCACTCTTCTTGAAAAAAAAAAAACCCAACAATTCTGGCCACATTAAACCTGCATTCTTGCATGGTGCCAACTGTATAGCGGAATCAAGGCTGCTTCTTTAAGGTGGGGCATCCCAGGGCCACTACCCCAGTGGTGTAAGTTGTACTCTATTCTCAAGGACCTGGCTAAGAAGAGTTGGATACAGCCAGTGCACCTGGTGGAAGTGGGCCTCTTGTTATTTGTCAATCCCAGGCCGAATCTTGCTACTTACTGTAGTTAGCCTAGACCCATACCCTCCTTTTGGCCAAAAGACTCATGGCTACCTGTTCCCTATCTTTTCTGCCTGGCCCTTACAGGTGTCTCACCTTGAGACTCTTGATTGCACAGTTGGGTTTACAGCCAGACCCCCTTGTATCCTCCTAACCAATGTCTACCTTCTAAGGGTTCTCTGGTGTTGTTGCTCTAGATGCAGTTACAGAAAGGGGTTGTGGCTGTCAATGGACCTTTGGCTTATGTATCTCAGCAAGCATGGATCTTTCATGGAAACGTGAGAGAGAACATATTATTTGGAGAGAAGTACAATCACCAAAGGTATTATTAACTTGTAAAGTGTAAGGCACTGTTGCAGTTGGTCCATGCTGCTGCATATGTGGGTGCCATTGGTAATGATTACCAAGTGGATTTCTTTAATGAGTTCTAATGAAACATTCACGAGATCTGTACAGGTGCTGAATTTTCTTTTTCTGACCCAGGAGTTCAGGAAAGGCACAGCATGCAGACCTGTGACCACATGGCATGCTGCAAAGAGGATGCGGTTGACACTTCATTCCCAGGGCAGAGTACCATATGTTCTGAGGTTCTCTGTAACAGGGCATATGTTGTCTGACTAGAGAAAAATGAATCTTGCAATTTTTATTTAGGCTAAGTAACCAAAACTTTGCTTGAAATCATGAGAAGAAAGCACATAATTAATCAGTTTTGACACTATTAATTCACACGGGCACTATCTGGATATATTGTTGGTAGTGTCCTCAAAATGGTCTAATGAAAATAAAATCAAAGTTCCAGTTATAATTATTTGATACATGTTGGGTCATCATCTTCGAGCTCTGGAAAGTAATGACGTCTCACAGCTGCCTGTGTTGTCTGAGTCCCTTCAGCACTCCTTTCCGGGAGATCCAGGCATCACATCCCCATTTCACCGACGGGGAAGCTGAAGCCCAGAGAGCTGACTGGTTCAAGGTCCAGGCTATTAAACGTGGACTTGAGTCTTGAACTTATGTCTTGAGCTCTTGCATCGTTTGTTCCTTTTAGGGCTGCAGTGTGGAAGAAAAGTTGATCTTAATCTAGTTACAGTTTGGACTTTCTTATCTGAGCCCACAAACTCTGTACTCCATGGTGGGCACTGGCAGCAAGTGTATTCCCAGCAGGAAGTCTGTTACCTTCCCTCCTTCCCTGGCTGTGATGCCCATCGACTGAAGGCTCAGGTGTCACAGGAAGTTCTGATCAGTGGTGGGAGTCCTTGCCACAAGCCAAACTGCTCTGCCGGGTGCCTCCTGACTGCAGCCGAATTTGCCTATGCCTCCACCATCCCTGCCTGGAATGCCTTCTCTTTCCTCAGAAGCAGGCTGGAAGGAGAGTGACTTAATTTATCAATGAGAAAGTGTAGAGAGCAAATATTATCAAAACCTGCCATGTGCAGGGCACCGTAAGGCACACAGACACCACCCATGAATCTTTGCTCCCACGGTGCTTGTATTCGTTACTTTCACACCACTGTGACAGAATGCCTGACACAAGCAACTTTAGGGAGGGAAGATTTATTTTGGTTCACAGTTTAAGAATGTTTCAGTGCATCATGGGAGGGAAGGCATGAGGGAATAGCTCAGTTCATAGCTAGGGCAGTATATGGCAAAGACTGTTCACATCACAGCAGACCAGGAAGCAGAGAGCGAGGCAGGAACTAGGGGATGGGTAGAAATGTCAAAGGCCTACTCCTAGAGACCTCCTTCTGCCATCCAGTCCCCACACCCTAAAGGTTCCACAGCTTTCTCAAATAGTGCCGTCAGCTGGGGAACAAGTATTTAAAACATGAACCTGTGGAGTACATTCCAGATTTAAACCATAACAGAACTCAAGTCCAGAAAGGGCTGAAAGAGACTCGGAAATGGCAGTGCGTGGAGGCTGAATGCATTGAGTGTTAGGAGACTTGTCTGGAGTGCTCAGGGTCCTGTGAGAGTGGGGGATCAGAAAGAGAGAGGGTGGCATTTGAACTGGAACTAGAAAGGTAAATGGAGTAGTTTCATACGTGGGGCATTGTTAGCAGAGCTTTGGTCCTAGGGTAGAAACTGTGGCTCTCAGGGCTACAGGAATCAGGTGGAGGAGATTTAAGATGGGAGGATGTGATGAGCAATCTCAGTCTCACAGTTGAAGGTCTTGTCAACTCCTTTGATGGGGAATTTGCAGTGTGGCAGACTTTTTTTTTTTTTTTTTTGTATTTTTTGAGACAGGGTCTCCCTGTAGCCCCAGCTGGCCTGGATTCGCTGACTGTGGCAGACATTGTATCGATGGCATTGCTGGTTTCCTCTTCCATTCCCAGACCAATGGGAATGATTAGCTCAGTTTTATTGAGGGAGGTACAGTCACTTATTGAAAGTCGCTCTGCTCAACAAACCCATATTGTTCTGAGTCCAAAACCTCTGTTAATAAATACTGTGTACTCTAGCCCAAATTGGGCTATGGGTCTGATGTGGAGGGCTGCGCCCAGGCTCTGTAATAGAAGCTGCTGAGTGCGGTCAGGGGCTTGTATATCACTCAAAAGGCGGCCGATCATGTTTTATCTGTTTTCTATTGCTGCCGTTTTATTGGGAAGCCGTGTCTTGCAGAGTCTGAGTTGTGAGGCCCACTCTCTGTCATGCCTTAAGGAAAGAGAATCCTGATGGTGATGGTGATGATGAAGGTGGATGGAGATGATTTTCTTACCATAGGGTCTCACATCTCACTAGATGTCATGGTACCAGACTCCCCAAGACGTATGCTTCTCCCTTGGGGCCGAGTTGTGCCTAGTGGGACAAGGTGCTTGCCCTAGAACCTTGGCTGTGCAGGACTAGCTTAGACCTCATAAGTCACATTCCCCAGAGACTAAATTCCCAGGCTTGACAATTGGGTGATTGTCGACTTTGGCAAGTGGTTCCCACTTTTTCCTCTCTCTAGAAGTGGGGTCTTCTGTGCCTATGTCCTGTTCTCTATAACCTGGCAGAAATGATGGGTAGATAGGGTATCTTTTTGGAGCAGAAGGGGTTCAGCAGATGTCAGGGTTGACGTTTGACCTGTGCTGCTCTACCACATACAACTCTCTTCCATTCATGGCCTTGCTGTATCCTCCTGGAAACCATCTTCAACAACTTCAACCCACATGCTTGACTCCCTTCTCTGACTCAGGGAGCAGTGTTAGTCGGCACCCTCAGAATTTGTAGACATTTGTAGAATTTTGGGGTCACCTTCCCTGTAATGGGAGGGGCCAACTCTGAGTTAACTCTGTACCAGGTCAAGGAGAGACCTCAGGAGCGAGGGAGACACTGCCCTTGGGACATCATAGACGAGGCAGCAGGATTGTCACCTTGTCCCAGCAGCACACGTGGTGCCTCCAGGAGCAGCCCAGGCAGCAGGGCTGCACGCTATTCTTACCATTCTAACTTCTGTTCCCACAGGTATCAGCACACAGTTCATGTCTGTGGCCTCCAGAAAGACCTGAGCAGCCTCCCTTATGGAGACCTGACAGAGGTGAGCAGAGCTGGGAATCCTATTTGCCCAGCTGGCCTCTGATTGACATCAACATGTCCCAAAGGTAGAAAGCCCCTAAGAAATGTTGGTAAAGTCCAAATTCTCCTTTGAGATACACACTCAGTGGACAGCTCAACGGGGGTACCACCAAGCCTCCTTGTATTTTGCCTCATCATGGTTGCTCCCAGAGCCCACTTTCAACCTACCTATCATCTCAGGAAAGGATCCCGTGAAAACTTCCCCCTCACCTCAAGGGTCCGCTCTGTAACCTCAAAGCAGGGGTACAGAGCACCCACACAGTCGGAGTCTCAGGGACTCGTCTTGCCTCCATGGCTCCGTACAGCCCAGGAGTGTTGTATCACCTTCAGACCTCGTTCCTGGGCTGCTTGTCCAAAGTGCTGGCTCTGTCCTGGGTTGAGCCTGCTGATTCAGGTGACCCAGAGTCATTGTGCCACCCTCCTCTCTCCTCAGCCCACCGTGTTTGGAGTGGTTAGCCTTCCTGGCTACACATGTGGCTCTGGCCTCCCAAATTGTGCCTCTACCCTTCCCCCTGCCACCCGCCAGTCAAGGTGTCTAGCCACCTCCAAGTCTTTCAGGGTCTGCTTTCAGTTGTTACCCTTAAGAGTTCCAACCCCATGTTCACAGAAGTTTCTGGAGTCCTACAGTTGGGAGCAATTTGCCTCTAAGAGCTATAATTATGCTTCTTGGTTAGCACGTGGTGGGTTGTGTTGGGCACTATTTTTATGTGTGCAACTCCCTGTGCGAAGGTGTGAGTTCCTGATACATACAGCACTTTTCTTGTCCTGTCTTCAGCAGGTGCTCAATAGCTGAGCACCTGAGCATGAGGGGGATCCATCTGGGGATCAGGAGGATGGGATCCCCTGAAGTAAGTAACCAAAGCTTTTCATCCCTTCAGGAAATGTTTACTGAGCATCTAATTCATGTCTCAGATGGTGCTGGACCTTAGGGATAGACAAGTGATCAAGGGAGTACAAGCCTTGTCTTCACAGAGCACACGGTTGCCTAGGAGGAAGCGAGCAGAGAGATCCCTGCTCTCAGGGGCTTCCTCCTCCTTTTCACTAACCGTTTTCTGGTAGAGTTTCTGCCTCAGGAACTCTCCTTTGTATTATCAGTCAAGGTCACCCCTCCCAGTGTGCTGTGAATTGGGACTGGAGTCATGCAGGAGGCACTCCTTACTCAGAGTCAGAAAGAACTGTTCCTCAGTTGGCACTGTCCTCCAGGCTTTCTGGGGAAGTGAGGGAGGTGGGGCTCTTCCCACTCAGCAGTGTGTAGTATGGTGGGCCCAGGAGCTTGTGTGCAGAGATGGTCAGTTCAGGAAACTCCTGGTCTCCAAAAACTGTACAGTGGCAGGTGGGGTCAATGATGGGAAATGCCATTATTCATATCCACAGATCGGGGAGCGGGGCATCAACCTCTCCGGGGGACAGAGGCAGAGGATCAGCCTGGCCCGTGCTGTGTACGCCAACCGTCAGCTCTACCTTCTGGACGATCCACTGTCAGCTGTGGATGCCCATGTGGGGAAACATGTCTTTGAAGAGTGCATTAAGAAGACACTCAAGGGGAAGACCGTTGTCCTGGTGACTCACCAACTACAGGTGACAGGGACATGCAGGAGTCATGAGATCTTGGGATGGGTGCAGCACTTGATGTGTATAGAGACTCCTATTTTGCCTAAACATGCCTTTCCCATCTGCAACTGCCTTACCTGGACAGAGTATGGAGAGGACAGGGGCTGCAGGAAACAGAGACGAGTCCTCTAGGCACCCTAGTTTCCAGGTAGCCCTGCCTGCCCCTCTCTATGCATGAACTACTTTGGCCTCATCTTTGGGATCAGTGGGGACAAGATCTTTCCTGGACTCTGACTCTGGGCCATTGGTGGCAAGGAGGTGGGGAGCCAGGAGGAAACAATTCCTCCAACGGGCCGGACAGGCCTGAGGTCAGGCGCACCTTGGCTAGAGATGATAGTCATGGACTCCTTTGATGAGAGGCCCAGGTACCCGTTTTTACGCCCAGGAAAGGGGCTTAGGGTCAAGGCTGTGATCTCAGGGCAGTTCTGCCTTCTCAGAGCCTGCTCCCCGCTGAGAAGTTGAATTGTCTTCCTTTGGCACAGGAGTATGACTCTTTCTGAAGAAAGTGGCTGGGCTTACACAGAGTGAGCGGGTGGCGATGCTCTTGTTGCATCTGTCCATGTACAGGTCCTGAATGCCCTGATGAGCACCTAGGACCCTTCTCTACCTATGACAAGACAGGGTTCCCTTCTCATGCTTTCTGCCTCTACTTTCCCCATGACAAGTCCCCAGAGATGCTCTCTCATTCTCCCTCTAACTCTCCTGATGAGGAGACATTCCACAGGCATTGAGAGATGACCCATTGGGGAGGGGCACAGAAGCCCAGTCTGCTTATTCAGCAGGCCTGATCTGAGGGCAGGAGGCAGCTCTCATTGCCTTTCAATGAAGGGTCAGTCAAGTTGGTGAGGGTGGGAGGGTTGAAGCAGAAATGAGGTTGCTATGGCTGCGTGTTAGGGTGTTCTGGCTTCAGCCAGGAGGACTACCCTGAGAAGGGAGGAGCTTCTCAAAGACCCAGGAAAGCCAGTTCTCCCTGAACCACTCCAGAATAAGCTCCAGGCATTAAAATTTTGCACATGTGGCTAGTCTGGTTTCTTCTATAGGTGATCTACTATTCCAGGAACACTGAGACAGGCTGGTTGGACAAGAGCTCCTAGGTCCTCTGCAGGCAAAGGGTCAGGGTACAGGAGAAGGCTGGGTTCTCATGTGTTGACAGGAAATGGGCTATGGCTCAGCCAGGGTCCTAAATGTGGTAAGCACAGTCTTGGAAGAGCTGTCTTCCTGAGGAGTTCTGGTCCTGGAGGACAAGGCCTTGGTCCTCCTGACAGGTGTGAGTTGGAGCTGTCCCTCCAGGAGTCCTCATGGAGGGGAAATCACAGCCCCAGTGCTGGTCCTTCTTTAATACTAATAGCCAAGTAGTTGTTTTCACCAGAATCAGTCTCTGGGATTAAACCTTTCTCCAAGGTCATTTTACCTCACTTTTCTTTTAGGAAGATGAAGGAGGTCACCAGGTGGCGCCATAATCTCAATATAATCATCATCCTTTCCTTTGTGGGGGAGGAGAGGACCCAGAACCTCAAACTGCAGCCCTGGGGCTTTTCCAGAACATTTCTCTGCTGCTTTGACCTCAGATGCTTTGAAGTGGTTGGGCAGAGCGATCACTATTCTGTTTACTTGAAGAAACAAATGAAATGAGGCCAGTGGTCAGCTGCTGGTACCTAGCAGGTCTGATTCATAGGCATTTGCAGAACAAGGCTGCTCAAAGTTTCCCAGTGTCACTGGAGTGAATGGGGGCGGGGGTCATTGAAATGAACTGAGGACCCGCTGGTTTGAGCAGCATTTTCTGGGGCCTTCCGAGACTGGGCTGTGGACCTCAACACTGGCAGAAAAGGCTGAGGATTGTAACCAGCTCTCTCTGCTTCCTTTCCTTATCTGGAAAATCAGCTTTCTTGAAATAGGAGTTGCAGGAGGTTGAGAGATAAGATGAGATCAGATTTTGAAACATTAGAGGATGCTATGCAAAAGTAAGAGGTTGTCTACAAGGGAAAGGTCATGTTAGAAAGCGTCTCCACTGGACACTGAATGCCAGGCTGCTCGAGCATGGGCTGCTTGCAGAAGAGGACAAACCATGCACAATTAATTCAGAGGAGACATAGAGGCCAGACCTGTATAAGCTGTCAGAACTAGTCTTGTTGAACCATTTGGGCATGGTGTACCCCACCAGGTGTATAACCATCAAAGGCAGTTCCCCAAATCAGGATTCTAATCAAGAGCAGCCGGATGGGATTTGGCCTTGAGCCAAGCCAAAGGGCAAAGGGAGAACTCCAGCCCTGCTGAAAGGCTTCTTTAGGTGGAACCATTTTCAGTCTCATAGCATCTTGCCTTCCTCTAGGAGAGGCCTTCCTGCCCTTTGATGGGGAGAGCTTTGCCTTATTCCAAAATGAAAGGGGATCTTTTCAGCAGAATTCTTTAATCACGGGGCTGATACAGCAGCGAAAAGCATTGGAATTAGAGAAGCAGAAGCGTTTGGTATAAAATGGTGGGATGCCCGTAATGTTGTAGCCACATATCTGTTCTTACCATTTAAGCTGTAACTCAGAGCAGGGAGTGTGTGCGGTGTCCTGAGCTCAGTGGGGCAGGGCTCAGTGGAGCTGGGCTCAGTGGGGGCAGGGCTCCTAATGCTGTAGTAGAGGGACATGTCTGATACCATGTTTCTTCTCTCTAACAAACCACAGCTACAGTGACAGTTAATTTTATTTCCAAATCTCCACAATCATGTTTCTTAGAAGGGCAGCTCATTTAGGGAGCAGAAGCAAAGGAAGGTTCAGTTTCTTTTTTAAAAATATTTATTATTTTCATTTTATGTGTATGTATGTTGTTTGCATGTGTATAAGTGTACCTGTGTCATGTAATGCCTGTGGAGGTCAGAAGAATGTGTTGGATCCCCTGGAACTGGAGTTAAGGATGGTTGTTAGCTGCCATGTGGGTGGTAGGAATCAAACTCGGGTCCCCTGTAAGAGCAGCCAGTGCTCTTCATAGCTGAGGCATCTCTCCAGCCCCCAGGTTCAGTTTCTTCACTGTGGCAATCAGTCCAGATTTTGTACTATGGGAATTAGACCAGAGCTTCTCAGCTGGGGCCCCCAGGGGCCTTTGGCAATGCTTGCAGACATTTTTGCTTGTCACAACTAGACTAGGGAAAGGCATGCTACTGTCTCCAGTGGGTGGAGACCACAAAGATTGCTAAATGGCCTGCAATACACAGGACAGCCCCTCTCAAGACAAGGAATTATTTTTCCCTAATGTAAATAGTGCCAAGATTGAAAACTCAGTACCGAGATGCACCTAGGACAGCCGCATGGGAGCTTGGTGTGGGGCCTTTGTGCTCTCCAAGGCACTGGCTTATCTTTGATCTGTACTGTCTCTGCAGTTCCTGGAGTCTTGTGATGAAGTCATTTTGTTAGAAGATGGGAAGATTAGTGAAAAGGGGACTCACAAGGAGTTAATGGAAGAGAGAGGGCACTATGCAAAACTGATTCAGGACCTCCGAGGGTTGCAATTCAAGGTAACTGTGGATGGGGGTGTGGGGGTGTGGGGGCGGATTGAGAGCCTTGCCTTGTGATTCCCACCTGGGAGAAGTCTGTCATTTGGCCTTCAGTAGGAATTTCATTTTATCTTCAGGATCCGGAGCACGTTTACAATGTAGCTGTGGGGGAAACCCTGAAGGAGGGTCCTGCTCAGAGAGATGAAGATGCTGGTACAGACAGACTTAGAGTCTCCCCTCTCTCTGCCCTGGATCCTGAGTGCACACAGACTTTTTTCTAATTTTTTCCCCCTTAACTGTAGTCTTGGCTTCAGGAGACGAGAAAGATGAAAGGAAAGAACCAGAAACAGATTCAGAACTTGTAGACACAAAAGGTATTTACCATCCTCTCCCTTGGTTGTTGCCCTGAGATACATGTTGGGCCTCTGCTGCAGGGATAGAAGAGTGTAGGCACAGTTAATATTGTTTGGGGCAGCTAGGGTTGTATGTCCTGCTGTGTATGTCCTGTAGTGTGAGCCTGTGCTGCTTAATCCCAACTGTCAGCTTGATCGAGTTGCAAAGTACCTTAGAGACTAGTCAGACCCACTTCTGGGTTGTTTCTGAGGATGTTCCCTGAGACGGTTACCTACAAGGGGAGGCTCACCCTAAATGAGGGCAACGCCATCCTATAGGCTGGGGACCCAGGTGGAGTAAAGGGGGAAACGGAGGAAACCTCAGTTAGTGCGTGTAGTGTCTCCCTGTTTCCTGGCCACCACGAGCAAGAAACTTGATCACTCTGAACCTTAGTTTTGTTTTTCTTTTTCTTTCTCTCTTTCTCTCTCTCCCTTTTTCTCTTTCTTTCTTGCTTTCTTGCTTTCTTGCTTTTTGGACTTTTTGAGACACAGTCTGGCCTGGAGCTGGCTGTATAGACCAGGCTGGCTTAGATCTCATGGAGATCTGCCTGCCTCTGCCTCTGCCTCCCAAGTGCTGGGATTAAAGGCATGCGCCACCATGTCTGGCTTGAATCTTACTTTCTGAAATCATAAAATGGGGAAATAATAGATCCAACCTCTATTTAGACTTTTGCAAAGGTTAAAGAAACTATCCACGAAGTGATTAGCACAGTGCCTGAAACATAAAAACCTTCAGTAGTTAGATCACTGTGTGCTGGAGAGGTCAAAGCAATGGAAATGAACTAGAAATGGAAGCAACTCCAAGAGCTGACCTCACCCCACAGGAGCATCAAACAAAGGTTGTGAAGCAGTGAAGGAATCAAGGGTGGACCCTTCCAACAAAGTTTCATTTATTGATTAATTGAGATTGATTGATTGATTTTGTCTTTTTGAGATAGGATCTCCCTGTAGTCCCAGCTGGCTTGGAACTCACTATATAGACCAGGCTGACCTTGAACCCACAGAGATCTGCCTACCTCTGCCTCCCAAGAGCTTTGATTAAAGGTGTGCACCACCATACCTGGCTATTTAAAAAAATATTTTATTTATTATTATTTTAATTTTATGTGTATGACTGTATTGCCTGCATGTATGAAGATGCACCCATATTGTGCAATGCCTGCAGAGGTCAGAAGAGGGCATTGAATCCTCTGGAACTGGAGTTACAGACAGTTGTTAGCCACCATGTGGGTGCTGGGATTCAAACCTGGGTTCTCTATATAAGAGCAGCCAGTACTCTTAACCATCGGGCCATCTCTCTAGCCCCTCAATATATAAGTTCTAAACATTGAATTGTGTACCAGGTCCTGAGTTAGGCTGGAAGAGAAGAGATGCTGTGTTCACAGGATCTTATTGGCCTGGTGAAGGTCCTGGGCAATGAGTAGCCATAGGAAACTTGGATAAGAGTAATGGGGAGTTGGAACAAACGGGTTAGAGAGGGCTTCACAGAGGGGCAACCTTTGCACTGATCCTTCAGGGATGTGTATGAGTTTTCTAGGGATAGTATAATGAGAAGATGGGAGTGGATGGAGGGCTTGAGGGTAAGGTTATGAGTGAATTCTAGGAAGGAAGAGAGGAGAGATGAGACTGGCCAGAGCTAGGTGTTGAGGCCACCTCCTCTCCTTAGACTGCTGTCATCTATCCCTTGTCCTCAGAGCGCCAACTCTGTGCTCTAGCCTTGGGTCATAAGTCTTCAAAGTACCCACAAAATGCCGATCCTCATTAATGTGTAGTAAGAAATACATTTACAGGTGTGGTGGCACAGGCCTGGAATCCCAGCTTCAGGGAGGCTGAGGGGGACGTTTACAAGTTTGAGGTTCACAAGGGAGACTTGGCAAACACTGTTTCTGAAATAAACAGTCAATAAAAAGCAGAATGAAGACACAAGATGGCAGATGAGAGTGAAGGCAGAGGTGAGACCACCAGCATCTCTGCTGCCACAGGGCTTGAGTCCAGCCACTAACATTGGAGCCGGAAAGAAGAAAAAGAAACAAAAAAGGAGAAAGAGAAAGTCAGTGGCACAGATTCAGCCCAGGATCAGCCGTGAAGGAGAACTGTTTGCCAGCAGAGAGGAGTCAGGAAACACAGCAGGCCATTGAGCTCTTCTTAGTGGGTCAGGGATATACCATGGAGGAGGCCAGTAAGTGAAGCTACGTGTTCTGAGACACACAATGAACCCCCAAATTGGAGGACTTAAAACGTGGCTCCAGTAAGATGTTTCATCGCTTGTTTCCCCTGGCTGTGGAGGAAGATGTGGAAACAGCAGACACCAAAAAAGCCAACGGGATCACTGACCGTGAAAAAGAAAACACTTGACCATCTCTCTCTAGTTTCCTCCAATACTGATGTCCTTCCAGTGAGAAATTCAAGTCAGCCAGTGACTGTTGCCTCTGTTTGCTGCACAGATGCCAAAATACTCTTTTTGAAACAGAGATATAATCACGTGGACAGAGAAATGGAAATGGGAAATAGTAAGAATCAGTGTAATTGAAATTTTGAATCCTACCATGATCCTGGAACTGTAGTCCTTTCCTGTGAGCCTGGAGCTGTGGTCCCTTCCCGTGATCTGGAGCTGTGGTTGCCTCCTGTGAGCCTGGAGCTGTGGTCCCTTCCCGTGATCTGGAGCTGTGGTTGCCTCCTGTGAGCCTGGAGCTGTGGTCCCTTCCCATGATCTGGAGCTCTGGTTGCTTCCTGTGAGCCTGGAGCTGTGGTCTGTTCCCGAGATCTGGAGCTGTGGTTGCCTCCTGTAAGCCTGGAGCTGTGGTCCCTTCCTATGAACTTGGAGCTGTGGTCCCCTCCCATGAACCTGGAGTTGTGATCCCCTCCTATGAACCCAGAACTGTGGTCCCCTTCCATGAGCCAGAATTATGGTCTCCTGTGAGCTGGAGTATTGGTCCCCTCCTGTCAACCTGGAGCTGTGAACCCTCCTGTGAGCTGGAGTTGTGGTCTCCTCCTATGAACCTGGAACTGTGGTCCATATACATGGAATTTTCTTTGTATCACTGTTTAAACTGGCAAAAAAATGAGAAAGAAAAGAAAAAGAAAACACAATTGTTCAACTAACTATGGCCCAGCTACAGATGTAAGATACTGAATTCATTAAAATGCTAATGTGTATTTTAATATTGTTTACATGTGAAGATGCCCTCTACATACTAAACAGAAAAATCAGGTTTTAATGCCAGAGAGAGAGAGAGAGAGAGAGAGAGAGAGAGAGAGAGAGAGAAATATGGCATCACATTGAAGATGCCATTAACCTATCAAGCCCACTATCATTTTATGTAGCAGAAAGAAACCCGGATTGCTGCCAATGAAATGATATCACTTATAAAATGGAAGGCACGTCCAGATTTCAGAATGTTTAAATGTGAAGAAAAGTCTTTGAATCAAAGGAATCTGGCACTGTTAATGCTGCTTGTGACATATGCATGCAAATTTGGAAACACAACTTATTTTTACAGCTTATAAGTCTTCCTGGGATGAAGGGAAGTACCCAGATATCTCTTCTATGCTTTTTTTTTGAGGAGGGGCACTCCTGGATGCCCTACATTAGGGATCCTATGATGAGAGAGTTCTTTCTGTGCTCACCACCCAGCCGTCCCTGGATAGGAAAATAGATTGTGAGATGTCACTGGAGACAGACCCTGTCCTCTAGGATTAACCACTGGGCATTCTGCACACTGCTGGAAGGTGCCACCACTGAAGTATTGTCTAAAACACAGGAAGGTCCAAAGGATGTCACTCACCCCCATGGATGGGCTGGCAGCCTGAGGGGACCATCAGGTCCTTTTGTGCTTTGGGATACTACCAAGTGCTGCCTCTCATTTTGTAGCCCAAGAAGTGGCAGAACATTCCAAAGTCGTTCTCAGGTTCCCAGGCAGAGTGCCGTGGGCTCTTCCCAGCCAGCATGTGTGAGGCAGGGAAGAGACTGTGTGAAGTCCCTTCATCTACCCTTCTGTATCTCTGTTTATGAAGCCACTTGTAGTTTATGGCTCTGCTTTGAGGATGACATTTTCATGTCTCTCTACAGAGCATAGGGAAGAGATGGTAGTCGGGTCTGAGTGCTGGAGTTGCTCTAGTGAGAATCCATGAGGACTTTGCCCTTCCCTGTGGGGAATAAAAAGACCTCAGACAGATATGGGGAGGGACTCATGGGTCTATATAGCAGCTGACTTAGCAGGACATCTTGGGCTTCCTTCTGTCTACTGAGAGGACAAGGAGGGTAAAAGACAGTCATCTTGTGGGTGTCCTGTCACCACAGTATGTGCAGCCCAGCTTCCAACTACCACATTGCATCCTTGTGCCCAGGAGTGCTCACTGGTAGCCCCAAATCAGCAAGGAAATGAACATCCTCAAGGAGTAGCCTTCCCTGGGCGGCAAGAGGAGTTGGTATAGGAAAGTGTGATCCCTCAGCATGTGCAAAAGCTCCAGGGTGCGCATCTCCCCTGACTCCACCGCTTTCTGTGTGGGGTTAAGCTGCCCACAAGGGTCTCTGGCTTAGCCATATGTCTCTCATCTTTGCCCTCCCTTCTTCGCTCCCAAGTGAGCTACAGTTACCCATTGGTACCCTCAGGAGTGTGTTTCTAGGATCTCCCATTGTTTCTAAGATGCTCAGGAATCTTACTGAAGTGGCCCAGCATTCCACATACAACTCGTGCACATTCTCCTGTATAATTAAGGTCTATTTTAATTAGAAAACTGCATTCAATGTTAATGATCTATAAATGCTTATTATATTGCATTATTTAGGAAACAGTGACAAGAAAAAGTCTGTGTATGTTTAGTATCAGCACAGTTTTTTCAAATATTTTCAATCTGAGATTGACTGAAACCTTTCACATGCAGCTGGAGTATACAGAGGGCCGGCTGTATATGCATTCTTGACTTCTGCTTGTAGTTTAGTTCTGGGAGAAAGGGGCCAGTACAACCCTGGATCCCCAGGCTGAGCTTATAGTAAATACCTAAGAGTTCTTCAAAGTCTATAAGCCTCTTGCCTCACAGGGCTGTGACTAGGATGAAATAAAATAAACTGAGTAGAAGTGTCTTAGAAATCTGAAAAAGGACTTAGAAAATAGAAGACTGAGTCACGAGTGCCCTTAGTGATGGAGGGGTATGAACGAAGGAGGTGTGCTGGTCTTACTGTGTGCCCACCCAAGCCAAGAAGTTTAAAGCCTTGTGTTTGTCTCCATAGCTCCTGTGCACCAGCTTGTCCAGACTGAGTCCCCCCGAGAAGGAATTGTAACCTGGAAAACGTATCACGCGTATATTAAGGCTTCTGGAGGTTTGGTATAAACTACTGGGTTTCTTCATTTAATTTTCATTAAAAAAATCTGTTCTTAAACTGTTGGGTTAGCATTTTATGATTCCTTCACCAATTACTATTTTTATGCTGGGGCTGCTTATCAATGCTTTTATTTTTGCCCTAAAACCTAAAATCTGATAATGCATCCTTTTAAACGGACTCATTTGTTATCTCCATTAAAGCTGCCAGGTTCTGTTTTATTGGAGCTGAGTGGGCAGCCACTGGGAGCCATCGCTGGTTGTTCCACACACACTCTGATTGCTGAGCACAGCAGCAGTTGGCTCACCACACAAGAGATCTGTGTGTGCAGGTGTCTCCAAGCAAGACTAGGTTTAGATATTTATTTAGAGACAAGGCTTATGTATAGCTCAGGCTGGTCTCAAACTCATAATGCACCCAACCTCAGCATTCCTAGAGCTGGATGACAGAATTGTGCCACCACGCTGAACTTTCAATTAGTTTTTAAGGAGTACTGAGTTGCTTTCATTAAACGGAACATTGAAATGTTCCATATATACGGCGGCACATATCTGTGATCTCAGCCCTGAGAGAAGCCGAGGCAGGGGGATCATGACTTTTAAGGCCAGCTTCAGCTATAGTGTTTGAGGCTCAAAAGTTACATGTGGGAGGTTTTTCTAACATATTGATAGTTTGGTCCCATTTTCCAACCAAATAGAACAGGTCTTCCTGTTGGGGTGCAGGGTCCCAACATCCAGACATCTTGAGTCAGTCTACAAGGTGGACCCTCAAGGTGGGAACCTTTTTTTCTACAGCCTCTGACTTTCAAGTTCCAAGGGTCAGGCTCAGGGCAGGTAAGTCTACCACTAGCCCTCCCATACACAACCCTCTTGGACCTCCTCTTCCTCTGGCAGGGTACCTGGTCTCTTTTCTGGTGACATCTCTCTTCTTCCTGATGATGGGCAGCTCAGCCTTCAGCACCTGGTGGCTGGGACTCTGGTTAGACAGGAGCTCCCAGGTGAGTTTCCTTTGGCAATGTTGCTAAACTAAACAGAGAGTTCAAATATACCAAGTGACACAGAGTGCCCCCTCTCCTCCCTTAAACCCTTTGGTGAAGTTGAGGCCAGTTGTTTAGCCATACTACCTGGACTCTAGAAGTCCCTTTCCATTTTTCAAAATAATCAAAGGTACCTGGAAGCTTACGTAAGGAGCTGGCTAAAAATGATGGTGCCAGTTCAGCACAGGGTGTGGGGTCACACATGTGCAAGGTAGGGCTGCCTAGGTTCTAAGTTTCCTCTGAGGAAGGACAAGAAGGGATCTGGAATACAGATTGTTATGTTCCTGCCTCTGAAGGGAAAGTGTCATCTTGTGGATACTGATTGAAGGTTCTACATGGCTCTGCTCCCTAAAGCTGCCTCTGCGTGGGGAGGGGAACCTGAAACAGATGTAGCCTATGGAAATGCTGTGGGGCCACCAGGGGCCTTACCCTATCCCAAATTTCCCATCTTAGCCAGTGCTCTTTCTGGGTAAGACTCTCTCTCTTTCTCTCTCTCTCTCTCTCTCTCTCTCTCTCTCTCTCTCATTGGCCAGGATCTTTCCCAGCTCTGTTGACCAATGCTTTCAAAGATTTTTTTCTGGAGCTCCAGGGAATGTTGTGTGTGTGTGTATTGGGGGTGGTGCTCATCCTCCAAGATTACATTGTGGTGCTGTCTTGTTGCTATGACATCAAAATAAGGATACACAGGCTTTGGGGAGGGAGAAGCAGTTAGATACAGTTTTCTGAGGAAGTTCCCACAAGGAGAGGCTGAGCGTGTGCCTTGCTCTGTACAGAACAGACAGCTTTCTCTGGAATGTGGGTATTCTCCCAGGAACTCACTCATGAAGGGCCCCTTTCCTTGGAAAACCTCAGGTACAGGGTCAAGGTGGAGCAACTCACTGGGCTCAGGCCTTCCTCAGTAGGTGCAGCAGTGGCAGACCCCTGTGACTGTTCAGAACCCTGAGGCGGTGGATACAACCTATAGCACAGCAAAGCATCCTGCAAGTCAGCCTTTCATCAGTGAACTCTCCAGGGTGTTTTCTGCCTTTGCAGCTGCTCATCCATCAGCCACCTCTGGGTTACCGTTTCCTCCATTACTGCAATCAGCAGAATGTCATTTAGAAGAAACATGTTTGTTTGCTCCCCAAAGGCATTCTTGACTTTTAGCATACAGACTAAAGAAAAATGAAACTGTCATTTTCTCAGGAGGAGGGAACCATGGCCTCTCTCCAGAAATCCTGGTGAGGGGATGTCCCCTTTCTGGGCAGGGTGAAGCCATAGTTTTGGAATCCTCTGAAAAGCCCTTTGTGTTTGCTATGCTCCCTCTTTTCTGCTAGGGCCTCTAGAGCACTGCACCAGGAGCCCCAAGTTGGCGCTTGGGGATAGGCCAGGGGACAGAGCTGTGGAACTGGCCCACCTTACTTAAAGGCCCCTTGACTCTCACTGAAGGGTGCCAGCTGCCAGCCAGCTCAGCAGGCTGGAGGATGATACCTGATTTTAATCTCCTTAGCATCACTTCAGGTCTCCGAGGTACAGGTAGCCTCTAGGACAGCTGCCCTGAACCCTGCCTTGTTTTTTTCTCAGCATCAGGTACCCCTCTGAGGAGATTCCATGCAAAGCTGAGAGGACCCTGAGGGAACTGACTTGATTTCATCCGTATGACTCATTCTTGTTTTAAATTTAAATTTTATTCTTAAAAAAAAAAGTGCGTGTGTGTCCGTCCTTGCCCATATGTTCAAAAGTGAGTATGTGGAGGCCAGAGGTTGATTTTGAGTGTCTTCCTCTATTGCTCCCCACCTTACTTTTCCCAACAGGGTCTCTCACTGAACATAGAGGTCGCTGTTTTGGCTAGGGTAGCCAGCCGGTGAAGCCCAGACACCTGCTGGTTCTGCTTTCCCACCCTGGAGCTGGGGCTCTGGGCAGGCACTACAATGCCTGTCTTTTACAAGTCAGCTGGGAATCTTAACTTGAGTCTTTATGCTTGAGCTACAAGCACTTTACCCACTTAACTGTCTCCCCAGCCCCACCTGGCATTTTTTAATTTGACTATTTATGAACCTCATACAACAGATTTAGATTAGCTCCCTATCTGTGCACACACACACACACACACACACACACACATATGCCCATAGAGTCAAACTTGTGCCCCAAGTGCCTTTTGATATGAGTCCACCCATCCACTGAAGCCTGGTCAACCTACCCAGGGGTTTTACTCTTAAACAAATCGACTCCCTCCATCCTAACAGCCTCAGGCAGGGCTGGGATTTCTTACCCACTTCCCCATGTCTCTGCTGGGACAAAAGTCTGGTCTGAGCTTGCACAGGCCTTATACATGCTGTCACCATTGCTGTGAGTTCATATGACTGACTGCTGTCTGAAAAACTCTGTCTCCCCATGGTCATCCACCACCTCTGGCTCTTACAATCTTTCTGCTCCCTCTTCTTCGATGATCCTTGAACCTTGGGAGGTCAAGGTTTTGATACGGGTGTCCTATTCAGGGATGAGCACTCTGTGGCCTCTTACTCTTTGCACATTGGCGGTTGTGGGTTTCTGTGTTAATCACCATCTGCTGCATAAGAGAGGAGGCACTTCTGTGAGAGTCAGAGATACGCTAATCTATGGGCATAACAAGTCATTAGGAGCACCTACTTATTCTAAACAGCCCTGTGCCTTTGTTTAGTTTCTTTCCTCTAGAAAGATTCCCTAGAATAGACCCTTCTCCTAATAGCATCATGATTCATGGTTCTTCTTTTGTGTTGCTCTGAAGGTCATCTGTGGGTCCCACGGCAATAAGACCACGTGCAGTGGTGACCAGACTCTGGGAGACACTGAACACCACATGTACCAGTGGGTGTACGCAGCAAGCATGGTGTCTGTGCTGGCATTTGGCATCATCAAAGGCTTCACCTTCACCAACGTTACACTGATGGCATCCTCCTCACTGCACAACAGAGTATTTAACAAGGTGGCGCCACCAGGGGCTGCGTGCCTACCTGATTATTCAGGTTTATTAGACCCTTACCATGTGCCAGGCACTGTGTTGGACTTGGGACAAGATGGCTGTCCTGGAGCCTAGCAACTAGTTTTCAAGTCATCTTCCACTTATCTAAACACCAAATGTGAAGGCCAGTTTCACAAGCGAAGGGCACATTTTAGACCCTTAGGCTGGAAGGATGGTGGAGGAGATGCACATCTTGCTGTCAAGAGCTCCAATGACGGCCTGAAGATGTGACCCTTATGCTTTCCTCTCCTGCTGTACTGTAGTGAGCAGAGCCCTCACCAGAACATGGGTATGCTCTGCACTTTGGAATGGAGAGACAAGTAGAAGAGGGGCTCACAATCCCCCCTCTTCCAAGAGCAGCAGCCTCCCCTGTCCCAGTCTGTACCTGAGGTGTGGAGAGGAAGCCCGGCCCTTGGGGCCCCAGCAGAGGCACAATCTCCCTCACATTCACTTGTGGTGGCCTAAGAATAGGGAGCACATGCCCATTTTCCAAAGACCTCTTGACTCACTGGGCTGTGTTCTAGGGAAGGACCTGCCCCCACTGTGCCTTTCTGCTGGTGGAGTAGCCGGAGTTCTTTGAAACCTCACGCTGACTCAGTTCGACCCTCTGCCTTTGTCCACAGATCGTCAGGAGCCCAATGAGCTTCTTTGATACAACCCCCACTGGCAGGCTAATGAACCGCTTTTCTAAAGATATGGATGAGCTGGACGTGAGGCTGCCGTTTCATGCTGAGAACTTTTTACAGCAGTTTTTTATGGTGGCGTTTCTTCTTGTGATACTGGTTGCTGTGTTTCCTGTTGTCCTTTTGGTCCTGGTTAGCCTTGCTCTCGTCTTCTTCACTCTTTTTTGGTAGGACTATACACAACCTAAAACGGGGAAATAAAAACTGTGTAACACACACATACACACACACACACACACACACACACACACACACACACACACACACACACGGAAGAGTAAGTATACACAATGACTGGGAGTCAGGTGACTCAGAGTGCCTGCTTTCTTGTCTTATGGGAGACTGCCTTGGGTTTTGGCACTTAGTAAACACCAGGTGCTATGCTAAGTGCTTTGCATACATCTGGCTTTTCAGCCCTAGAGCAATGCTGGGAGGTGGGTAAATTATTGGGAGGCTAAATCATTGGTCCCAGGCCAGGAAACTAGTAACCACGGTTGCCATCAGTCTGCTGATGCATTCTTAACTACTGGGCTCCTCCATTCCTGCTGCTGGAAAATCGAGAGGAGACCTGTCTCTAGTCACTCTGAATTTTTAGACATTGTCTTCACTCCAGCCAGAAGTTGATGTGGACAGAGAATGGGCGTTCCTTCTGCACATGCACCTGGAGGGAAGAGGGAGGTGGCAGTGGCCCAGCTTCCAGGGGACATGGTCACTCCCTGTTTCTATGAAGGTGCAGAATGGCTCTCAGCAGGCACCCTGGAAAGTATTGAGGGGACAAAGGGCTGAAAATGAGAAAAATTTGTACCAGAGTTCCAGTTTTGTTATGGTACTAGTTGGAGGACCTTGAAATGTCACAAATTTGTTTCTTCATCCCCCAAATTTCTAGTCATTAAAATGTAGCCAACTCTCTGGCTCACCTGCTTCAGAGAGTTGTTGTGAGGATTAAATGAGACTTGATGATTAATTCCTTGTCAAGAAAAAATAAAATGAATTATTAAGCAAACTTGAGAGATTCAGAGTTTGGGTAAGAGCGGATCAGGGACAAGAAATGAAGGAACCCAGGGGTCATTTACCAGGCAGTCACCAGGGTTTCACACGTGGTAGAATTTTGGGTGTCAGGGAGGGGAGCAAGCAAGAATGACCCATGGTGGGGACTGACGTGCCAAGACACATAGTCTGGGAGAAGAAGTAGTTCAGCTTTGGACTCAGGCTCCTGAATCAAATCTGAGGATGGAGCCATTGATAAATTAATGACAAAAGTGCAAGGGACGCCCCATGGATGGAGGCTGGCTCTCGATTCTGATGGGAGCAGGTGTGGTGATGGGAGTTAGTGTCCATGCCCTGGGAGCCCACAGAGCCAGGCTATCGCTGCAGCACCCTTTCTGTGTCACTGAGAAAAAGACACATATTTCCAAGTTCAAGGATTTGTTGTGATAATGAGACAAAAATGTTTTCTGGAAGTCCTTCTCACAGACAACCATGTGATGGATATGAGAACTTCAAACAGACTACTTGAGCTCTGTTCATTCTGTTACACCTGTATTTGGCCATTGTGGCTATCTATTCTACTTATGCTATTGATTAGCTTAGTAAAAGGTTTTTCTTTTTTTAAATCTGCCCTGTATACTCACTTTTTTTTTTTTTGCTACAAAGACAGGAAAGACCAGAGAGGAGAGCTTGATTGAAATATTTGTAAATTTCTAATGAACTCTGAGCTACTGAGGTTCCTCACCCCTGTGGGTTCACGTTAGGTGAGAGTCTAGAGGCAATCTTGGCTCCCTCCAACAGCCAGCAAACTTGCATGCTCAAGGACACAGGTTTATACTCAGTGAGGATTCTGGGGTTTCCACCTATGGTGTGAGATGGTATCCTCAGAGAGTTCAGTTTTAAATTCAGCTTCCGAGGCAGTCAGGATGTTTGTACTAAATTACTTTGGAAAAGTCTTTGGAAGGCCACACATTAGAAACCAGGTCAGATCACTCCTTCTTTGGTTGGTCATCAAAAAATGCTTGATTTGTGTTTAATAACTCACTATAGTGAGTGAAAACTTTGGGTCTTTGAAGACTAGAGCCACATCCTTGCCACATGCCATTCTTGCTATGATAAGTTCTCAGATCTGAAAGCAAATGAACTACTGGTATGTCTATACTCCTCAGATGCCCATTCTCACACAAGCAGACAGGGCAGCCTGGGGAGGAACGGCAGGCTCCTCTCTGCCCCAGTTATGGCACCAACCCTGGTTGGATGGCTTGTGCTGATGCTGAGTTCCTTGAGACCTGACTTTGTGACCGTTTTGGACCTTCTCATTCTCCTGGCAGCATTTTCCACCGAGGAGTCCAGGAGCTCAAGCAGGTGGAGAACATCAGTCGGTCACCTTGGTTTTCCCACATAACCTCCTCCATGCAGGGTCTGGGGGTCATCCATGCCTACAACAAAAAGGATGATTGTATCAGCCGGTGAGTTGATGGGCCCTTGCTCCAGGGTCTCCCCGTGTCATGCTCCATCCAAAATAGGAGGATCAGGAGCTCTATTCCTATTACTTTGAGCTCCAAAAGATATAATTAGTTAGGGGAGCTCACTCCATAATGCCATAATGACCTCAGTACATGACTGTATGAGGGAGGGAGGGAGGGAGGGAGGGAGGGAAGGAGGGAGAGAGAGAGAGAGAGGAGAGAGAGAGAGAGAACTTGGGTGTACAATGCTGGGGGGGGTGAACCCAGGGCCTCGTGAATGCTAGGTAAGCACTACACTCTTGCAATACACCTTCAGCTCTGTCTTTTTTTTTTTTTGTTTTTTTTTTTTTGGGTGGTCTCCCTGTAACCCCAACTGGTTTGGTACTCACTACTCCCTCTATAGACCAGGCTGGCCTAGACTCAGAGATCCACCTGAGTATGCCTTCTGTGTATGCCATCACGCCCAGCTCATTTTTCACTCTTAATGGTGAAAATGTTTTAAATTTAGGAGAACGGAGGAAAACAGCAAGTAGAAGTCTCCCCCGTGCCTCAAATCCTGATCCTGTCCATATTTTCATGTACATGTTGTATATTCCTAAATTGAAAATCCAAAATCTGAACTGTACCTAAATCCCAAACTTGTAGAATGCTGCCGCAACACTGTGAGGGGAAAAATCCCTCAGTTGGCCTCACTTGATGGACTGTAGTCTAAATACAGGCACAATACAAATACTGTGTAAAAGTTACATGAAGGCACTCATTCCAGTTGTACAGGTCTGTATTCCCAGCTACTCAGGAGGCTGAGAAAGGAGGATTACAAGTTCAAGGCTTGCCTTGGCTACAAAGTGGGTTCTAGGCTATCCTGCATATTTTAGAGAGACCCTGCCAAAATAAAAATAAAAACGTAAGGAAAATGGCTAGGGGACATGTGTAGCTCAGTGGCACAGGGTTGCTTAGCTGTGTGAAGCCATTTCCAATTCCCAGCACTGCAAAGTTGAATAAAACAAACAAAAGAATAACCTGCAGGCGATGTGTATAAGGTACGAATGATGCATGTGGTTATGCTTGGTTCTAATTTCCAAGGTAACTCATATTCCAAAATTTTTAAAAATCCCCTTTTGGAGATGCTCCCGGTCCCAAGCATTCCAGATAAGGGATGCTTAACTTATATTTCTTTTTCATTCTTTTATTTTTCACTAACAAAGTTTTTGTTTAAAAATTACTTTAAATATTACTGAATATCCTTTTTTCTGTTATTATTAAAATAATCTATTTTTAATTGTTTTTTTGTGTATTTCATACAGAGCATCTCAAACAATATTAATCATCTTTATACCTCCATCCCCACAGGCACCCTCCCATACTCCCCAACCCCACCCCACTGGAGCCCATATACTCTGTTATCCCTGTTACTGCCCACTGTGCTGTCAGTGCCCCCAGTGCAAGTCCATCTGTTGAGTCTAGTCAGCTTATCTAGAGTCCCTTGTTTTAGGAAGATCAGCTCTTCTTCATCTAGCAGCAATCAGTTGCCAACATTCCCCCAGACAAGATTGGGGTCTGCTGTTCATTCTCCTGGTTCTATGCTGGGTTACTGTCTGCCTGAGTTTGCATGGGACTTGTGTATGTTGATCCCATGCCATAGAATCATATGAGCAGGTTCCCAGGAGCTTGTAGGAATCTGTTTCCATATGGTCACGCACGTCCTCCCTGGCTCTTACAATCTTTCTGCTCCCGCCCTTCCAAGATGGTCCCTGAGCCTTGGGTGGATGAAGTTTAATAAAGGGGTCCTGTCCATGGACCATTATTTAGCAGGCTCTTGATCTCTATGCTTTGGCCATTTGTTACCCTTTGTGTTCCTGGTCCTCTGCTTTATGAGGGAGCTTCATTATTGAGAACTGATTCATCAGTGTCCTCTTCTTTATCCCTGTTCTATGTTCCATGAGCCTTAGGTGTAGAGGTTGCATTGCAGGTGTGTCCCTTAGGTCTGGGTAATTCATAGACAATGTCCCCATGTGACCAATTGTGGTACTTGGTATTAGTCTCTGACTGCTGCAAAATGAGCTTCTTTGATGAGTGGTGACTGGGATATTTATCTGTAAATATAAGGATTCATATTTCACACATAGTAAGAAATCACATTAGTCTAGTGATGTGAGAGTTTTGGGGTTTTCTCTAAGATCTATGACCACTCCAGCCATGGGTATTGTTGTGTTACAGTACCATACTTGAGTTGGCTTTTAGTCAAATTAGGTAGCTGTTGATTGTCCCCAAGGAAAAAGTGCCACTACTACTACATCAATGACTATGCTGTGCTGGCCGTCGATGTGGTTATTTGGTCTTGAAGCTGGTGTTGGACCATCGATTGATGTTTCCCATGGCACTTTCACAGTGTTTTCCAAAGCTATGAGAGCTGCCTTCAGGGGAAGTGGCTTCCAGGTCAGTTTCAGCTCTGTTTCTCCAAATCCTGTGTCTGATGTGTGTTCTGTCTTCAGCAGTAGGGTCTTACCTTCAAGTTCTGGGAGGCCATCAAGGGCTGTGGCAATAGCCTGTAGAATTTTGGGAGTCTCTTGGACCACCCTGGCCAACAACTCATGGAAGGTTTCTCCAGTCTGGCACTGTTTCTTTTTATGTAGCCTTTAGCTATACATATGGACTCATGTAGAGATAATGTATGTATAATTTGTCAGTAGGTTGTTGGACTAATATGATTCCCTCTGTCTTTTAAAACTAGCTAGGCATTACTTATCTCTCTCACTATCTAACCCATCCACTATGGTCTCCCCATTTAAGGTGCCCCCATTTTCCCCATTTCTTCCTTAATAATACCCTTCTCCTATGGTCCCACCTCTCTTGGGCTCCTTCTTCCCCTTTATCCCCAAGGTTCCTTGTGTAACCCTCCTTCCCCTTTCCCATTTAAATAACCCCATTTTATCCATTTCTCCCATAGTAACGCCTGTTTCCTACTGTTCTTCTCTTTTGTATTATTTATTTTCCTTTACCTCCATGGTTCCTTTTCATTATCCTAGTTCCTGTAGTTATGTCTGGATACATACTCACTTATAAGGATTTGGTGCTAGGATGCACATATGAGGGAGAACATACGTCGTTTATTTTTCCAAGTCTGTTACGTCACTTACTATAACAGTTTCTGGTTCCATCCATTTACCTGCAAATTTCATGATTTCATCTTTCTTTACTGCTGAGTAAAACTTCATCGTATAAATGAACCACATTTTCATTATCCACTCATCAGTTGAGGGACACTTAGGTTGCTTCCATCTCTTAGCTATTGTGAAAAGAGCAACAACAAGCATGGATGTACAAGCGTCTCTGCGATAGAATGAGTCCTTTGGGTATATGCCAAGGAGTGGTATAACTGGGTCAAATGGTAGGTTCATTTGTAGTTTTTTAAGAGTTCTCCACACTACTTTCCATAGGGATTGAACAAGTTTGCAGCCCCACCAGCAGTGGATGAGTGTTCCCCTTTCCCCACATCCTCACCAACATTTGGTATCATTTGTTCTCTTGATCTTAGCCAGCCTGACTGGGGTAAGATGAAATCTTAAAGTGGTTTTAGTTTGCATTTCCCTAATTACTAATGATGTAGAACACCTTTTAAGATGCTTCTTAGCCATCTTTATTTTTTCTTTTGAGAACTCTGTTCAACTCCTTAACCCAATCTTTTAATTGGGTTGCTTTCTTTATTGAGTCTTTGTGTTTTGAGTTTGTTATATATTCTGGATGTTAAATCTCTGTCGGATGTGTCACTGGTGAAGATTCTCTCCCATTCTGTGGGTTTTCTGTTCGCTTCCTTTGTTGCTTCTTTTCATGTACAGAAGCCTTTTAGTTTAATGAGGTCCCATTTGTTGATTCTTGACCTTATTTCTTGAGCAATTGATGTCCAGTTTAGAAAATGCTTTCCTAAACCTATATCTTGTAGGTTATTGCCAATGTTTTAATGTTTTCTTCTAACAGTTTCAGAGTTTAAGGTTTCACATTGAGGTCTTTCATCCATTTGGAGTTGACTTTTGTGCAAGGCAAAAGATAAGGATCTAGTTTCATTCTTCTACAGGTGGAGATCCAGTTTTGCCAGCACCATTTGTTGAAGATGCTGTCTTTCCTCCAGTGAATGTTCTTGGCCCCTTTGTCAAAATCAGGTGGCCGAAGTTGCATGTACTCATATTTGAGTTTTCAATTTTGTTTCATTGATCTACAGGTCTATTATTGTGCCAGTACCATGTTGTTTTTATGACTGTAGCTCTGTAATATAGTTTAAAATCTGGTATAGTAATCCCCCCAGCATTGCTTTTAGTGCTCAGGTTTGCTGTGGCTATCTGAGGTCTTTTGTGCTTCCATATGAATCTTAGGATTTTTTTTTCCAATTCTGTGAAGACTGTCATGGAGATTTTGATTGGCATTGCATTGAATATATAAATGGCTTTTGGTAGAATGGTCATTTTCACAATATTAATTCTTCCAATCCATGAGCATGGGAGGTCCTTCCATCTTTTAATTGGGTC